CGATAAAATTGTGCAGCAGCAGGATTCCACTCAAACCAGTGAGTTTGGCGGTTTTAAGATATCATCTCACATAAAAAAACCCGCGCATGGCCGCTATATGCCCGGATAAAAATAAACACAACCAACAGCTTTTATCACAGAATTAATAATTAATATTGTTCGCTCTGACGTAATGGATGCGGAAATGAAATGAATTTCCCATAAAGTAAAGGTTTCAGGAATTTAAGCATTGTTCTCCCCTTGTCCCTTTACAAATTTACTCCCTTGGTAATACAGTTCAGTCGAGGATTGTTTCACATATATGAGCTTTGTTGTGTTGATATTTTTCTATGGTGGTTGGGATGGAGAAAATCCGTAGAGCATTCTATACCTCGCATAACTCTTGTGTTCAATGCATGCAATGTCACGGGCAAATATTTTTTGTTTGCTTTTCTTTCATTTTGTTTACGCTGTGATATTTTGGACATCTAAATGTAAAAAAAAAATGTCACAACAACTCTGTCATAAAGTCCCACGCTTTGTGCAAGCGACAACTAGCGCCGCGTAATTTAATCGAAGTCTTACTAGAAAGCAATCAAGCCAAGAAAGTCAGTCTAGGGTTTAAAACAGGAATCAACAGGCCTTGCGCTGAAAATGCCCGTTAGGCTTAGCATTCAATTTCCTTTAATACGCAAGAATTTCGGTGTCTGACGTATTTCAAATGTAATGGAAAAGTTAGTTCTTTCAATTTATTTCCTGAGGTGATCTACCCAATCAGACATTTCACTCTCCAGTGCACAACATGATGTTTATCGAGCGAAAAGAAGAAGTATACACTCGGAATGTTGAGGAAGGTATTGTACACGCCTCCCCGTATGGCTGTGATAAAAACACTGGGATCTTGCCAAAAGTCATCGTACGTTGCGATTCAAGAGTAAACAGATGTTGATTAGTCAGTACAGCCTTAGACGGTTGAGGCCGGTGGGCGGAATGAAATATTATGTAAAACCAGACGAGAATTGAGAATAGAGGCAGTCGATGAAATTATGACAAAATTTCTGACACTGCGCAACTAAGCAAGCCTCGAACATCAATATTAGCAACAGAATATGAGAGGTATATCGGACAAGCATCACTCTGTAACAGTGACCAGTTGGCCACGTAAAAAGGTTAAAAACGTGGTTACCCAAGTCCTTCTGGATACAACAGAGTGTAGAAGTACACACGAGTGAATACTGCTTGACATTTGTACATATTCCATTGCAAAACAGGCCCTCAGATTTCTATTCCAATAGCACGGTCTGTAAATAAAAAAGGAGGTCAGAGGTCACCCCAAAATTGTTTGTGGGTTCTGAATTCATCCACGATCGACGGTGAACACATATAAGGTTGAATGTATAAATACTGCCTTATGGGGTACCGAAACAATGGGAGGTACCCCACAAGTAATGCCCACCGACTTGCGGGGTACCGTTTTGGAACCCCAACAGTTTTTCAATAAAAAGAAAAAGGAATTTAATTGTGGTTAAAATAAGAGCATGTTGAAACTACACTTTCAAACTCGAAGTCTTTACTATACGAGAACAAAGAAATGTCTCCACAAGGATACAAAATTCAGTATGGGTGTGGTTGTAGTGATTACTTGCGGATACAAGCACAAATACAAAAGCCTCATTGAAAATTGTTGAATGGATATTTGTTTAAGCACTTTGAGAGATTCTACATATTTCTAAATGGTGAAATTAAGATTGATATTTACTTTGAAAAAGAATCAGCGCAGTCACAATTCGAGTGAGAAACAATTCGATCTATTCCACTGAATGAATTTTGCACGAAATAGCGTTGTCCCTCTTTTTTTTTTAATTCAGTAGGATGGGGTAAATTGTAACATGACTTTTTTAATCTTTTAAATTAAGAGAGCACGAGTTCCTATGTATTTCTGCTTCACTGGAATTCTAGTCATTTAGTTAAAATTAAACTCAGTTTTCCTGTAAAAAAGAAATTTGATTTTAAGTTTGAGGAGTAATACAATAATCGAACCGCTAAGAATGATGTAACAGCGAATGAGTCCTTAAGAATGCACATAGCCTGAAGTACAATGCACTAATCGGGCAAAAAAACCCCATATTTTAACAGTCGCTGGTTTGAGGAAAGTCACGCGTCATTCGATGCTATGACAATTATCAAATATCTGTACAAAGGCTGTAAAGGTGGAACCGCTAGCCCAACCTGAACATTACGTGCCATAAGCTGGAAACTGTGAAGTTCAAATGTGATTAAAACGTGATTAAAGTGGTGTGAAATACCTGCAGCACTCGGGCGTTTCCGTCGCTAACAGTTAACGTAAAGAAATCCGGTGGACTTTGTTTATAAGAGAGTACCAAATGTACAAAAGAAATACTACAGGGTTTTACAATAATTCACATTTAACTCGTAAATGACTTACTCATTTCGTCAAAAAAGAAGAGGTTGTAATTGTCACTGCAATTAATGCACGTTGTGAAAAATGCAAATTCTCCCCCCCCCCCACACACATAAAATCACACAACTATAGGAAAAGCGCCCTCATTTTTCGGTGGAGCGGGAGTTACTGTCTAATTCCCAGACCGAAAGAGTTTGACTATTTGTTCCGCGCTAAACGATGAGGGCGACAGGGGAATCAAGTCTTTGTAGCTGACCGGAGGCGTGGAGTTCGCGGGGCTGTATACCTGGTAAGAGTCTAACTCGATAGAGGTGAACAAATGTCTTGTTTTGTACGCCTGGAAGTTGCAATCGTGGTAAGTTTTTAGTTTTTCCAGCCCACCCGGCCCCCTTTTCCTGGGGCGGGGTTCCGTTTCAGGTTCCGGTTTCTACTAGAATTATCTATCAAACCCAAATAATCTTTGTTATTTTCGTTGTACATAAATGATAGTTGCAATGCTTCGACGGTCCTTTCTGTTATCCTCTTGTTCTCAATGGTGAATTAAACAAAGTATCGGTTTGGCTCCAGGCTAACAGATTGTCACTTAACTTGAAAAAATGTACATTTATGGTTTTTCGAAGTAGTAAAAAGAAGTTAAATAGCCTATATCTAATTGTCAAGTTAAAATTTAAAACGAGCCTATACTGCGAGTGTGAAACACCAAATTTCTTGGGGTTTATACGGACGAACGTCTTTCATGGATATTCCACATAAAAGAATTAGAAAACAAACTTTCCAAAAATATTGGCATCATGAGCAGATTGAAGTATATTCTTCCGTCGAGCATTTTGCGCACTCTGTACTGTTCATTAGTTCTCTCTTACCTCTCTTATTGTAACATTATTTGGACCAACACTTACAAGTCAAATCTTGATTAAAATTGATTCAACAACAGAAAAGGGCAATTCGTATTGTATGTAAGGTGCACTTTAGTAAACACACTGCTCCTTTATTTATGAAACGCATGCAAGCTTTTGTCTCTAACTAGTAATATTAATGTCTTTCAGCATAATGTTTTGTGTATAAATTTATAAACAATCAACTTCTTGAATCGTTACACAACCTCTTTCAATTTAATAGATCCATTCATGATTATAATACTAGGTCCTCATGCAAATTACATAAACCTCAAGTCAGAACAACTCTTTCTCAACATACCATTTCTTTCTCTGGAACAAAAAACTGGAACTGTCTTTCACCGTCTTTAACTAATTGCCCTCCAAGTAATACTTTCAAATATAAACTAAAAACATTCCTAATTAATTCTCAGAATACCTGATTTTTTATTAAGTTGGTCGCTATTGATATGTTATTTATTATCGTGTCTACTTTGTTTAACCGTTATATATTTAACAATTGTTATTATTTCAAATTTTGTAATTAGTGTTGTTTGTCTTGTTTTGTCTTGTATTGTTTGGCACATCCACCAAAAGCCTCGGATTTTGAGGATGCTGCCTCCACAGAGTGGAAATAAACGGTTATGAATTGAATTGAATTGAAGTACGTGTTCTGGAGCCCGCAGCAGAACAACAAAAATAGTTTACTATCTAGCTTCTTTCTCTTTAAGCAATTTTATGTCTGGGCACCACTTTCATCAGATTTCTCAGAGCTTACATTTACACGTGGGGAACGTTGATAAATCTTAAACCATAATTAATATACATGTACATCGAAAACAGCTTAAACATAGTCCAAAATGACACGATGAAAAAAAAACCCTGGTGTACATTTTATACCAAATCAAATTCAAACGGCGAATAAGATAAATCTAAGAAAACAAATCATGCTTTTATGTAGTCCGGCCTATATTAGCGAACTTTCAAGTACTCCAAGGCTAAACTTTAGAGATTACGACACTTAAATCACTTTGTTAAAAATGTGTAATTGTAATTTCGCTTACTCCAGTCGTAATACTAACGGGAATTACGTTACCGCTGACCTATAAACTAGTATTTCACGAAAACAAATTTCGGTGAATTATGCAGATAGTATACTATATTTTAACTTATTCTAAAAAAATATAGCTTAAGTAATATCACGATAAACAGCAAAGAGTTCATACCTGAACATTGTCCCTTATTGATGCTATAGAGCTCGCCAGTAATGCAATATATCATAAAGCATAATCTTTTAAGTACATATACTTGGAGACGTCTAAAATATTCACAATGTGTTTTTTTTTTTTCATGATTAATGCACATAAAAATGTGTATGAACAACTTTTATATTTTTCTGCAGTACGTTTAATGTTTATCATGTTCACTTGGATGACTAGGACCAAATATTTTGTTAGGCATTAATCGATCTTAATTGTTTGGTCCTTGTATATGTCAAGCTATATGCAATTGTTATAGGACGGTAGGCCCTAAATTGGAAAATCATGCCTGCACTTGATGCAGATCTTACTGGACAGTTCAAGCCCCAACCCACCCAGCACAGACGCATTATTTCCAAAATTTGGCTACACTTGACAAAAACAGTGGGCCAATCTTGGACGCCAATTCTGGGCAGAACTTGGCCAATATTGGCCTGATTTTTCCCAATACTGGCCCATGTTCGTTTTACTCATTGGCGCAAAATTTGTGCTATATTGGTAAATATGGCAATGTGGGCAAAATATTGGCTGAACTTTGGCATGGGCTGGCCCTTACCAATGTTCAGTCAATATTACCCAATATTGACCAACGTACATTCTGCTCATTGACACAATTTGGTCCGATTTATATAGCCTACATTGTGTATTGACACCAATGGTAATATCAGTATAACACTGCAATGTTATGCCGATGCAATGTTAAACTACAGGCCTTTACTTTGGCAAAGGTCTGTAGTTTTTATCCAATATTATGCCCATATTGCCATTGTTGCCAATAATGGGACCAATTTTGCTCCAGTGAACGAATTTCGAACGTGGCCCAATATTGGGTAATACTAGGCCAATATTGGCCATGTTCTGCCCAAGATTGGTCAACTGTTTTTGCCAAGATAAGCCCACTGCTATATGTGTTTGCCAAGATAAGCCCACTATTGGACCTATCTGTGCTGGCTGGAAAGTACCAAAATTGCCCAACAAATTCCAACCACAATTAAAACTAATTACTTACGAAATGCAGTAAAAACTTTCAGCTAATTTTGAATACATGTATTATTAAATGTATACAGTCGCGCTACGTTGTTATAAGGCACTTTGTTGGAAGTATAGAGTACACAATATTATCATTCGGAACTTGAAATCTGTTGCGGATTATGCAAATTAATATAACTCGTCTCCTACTAGTAATATATACAGGAACCATTCCTACATAAGACACATACACGTTATTTCTACTTTTAGGCCATATGCACAAAATAAAGATGTTTCTCGTATTAGTTGTATCTTTCATGGAAGACTGGTCTGCATTCTGCGGCCAGAGGCACGTACAAAAAGCATCCGTTACCTCTGCACTAAATTAAAACAAAGTGGGCAGTTACAATCAAAAGAAACCTCAGGTAAAATATTGAAAATGTTCTGGAATTGTGGATGTTGTGGAGTGATTATTTTATTGTGAGCATATGTGGATGTCTTTAATTGACAGAATTCTTGTGAAATGTGTACAGTACATTTATCTTATTAGTGCTTGTCTCAACACAAATTGTATTCAACTTCTAAGCAATCTGGCTCCGTTGAAACGAAACAATGATCCAAGTAGGAACACAGGAACTGAAATGTGTGTCGGGCCGCGGGATCCTTCTCCCAGCACTTGAGCATGAGTTTGTACAACGTTTGAGGGCAATCAGCCATCTTGGGCATGCGGTAGCCGTGCTGAATCTTATCCATGACATCCTTGTTCGACATACCTTTGAGAGAGAACAAGTATAGGGCCAAATAAAAAGTATAAAGGAATTTCTGTACCGATCAGTCGAAATTTGAGCAAGATGTGTCCAACAGTTTTTGAGTGAAACAAAAAAAGTATTAGAAGGGGGACTTTCTTTTTTCGTTGAGTGTATGAAATTAGCACATGTAGAAGTATGCAAGTAGAGAGAAAAAGTAATCAAAAGTCCTTTCCAAGAGGAATTGAGCACAATTAGGAATGGAGTGCAAGTGGTCTGGTGTTAAAGAGAACTAAACGTAAACACTGAACTTGAATCTTTCCACAAATCAATATTTAATTAAGCACTAATGAAACAGGTGTTCAAAAAAATACCCCAGAAAAACTAGACTACAGTTAGCCTTACCTGGGTAAGGTATACATCCATGCGTGACCAACTCAGTCAGCAAGACACCAAAGGACCAGACATCAGACTTGGTGCTGACTCGTCCGTACATGAAAGTCTCAGGGGCTGTCCATTTGACTGGGAAAACGACTGCAAAGAACATTCAAAAATACAAACGCAATACGTTTATGGAAGATACACGCAGGGCTCAAGTTGCAGTTGAGTGCTCCATATATTGGTTGTGCTTAGGAAGAACACTTCGCCAAAAGCTCCTTTGCTGTGTACCGCAGGTATATCAAGTGCAATTTCTTAAATTCACGTACTCGAACTGTAAGTTCCATGTAAGGTCAAATAAGCCAGACTCTACTTTCTTAAAATTGCTAAGTCGTCCCAAAATTCATGGAAAAATAGCACATGCACACTTTGAGATCGGCATTTAGGGGCGGAGCAAATTACTGGCCCAGAAAAAAAATATGTGAAATATATGTACAGAGTGAATAAAAAAATAGCGGAACCCAAACCCCCAAAATTTTATTTCATATTTAAAAAAAATATGTAGCACCAAACATAACAATGACTAAAAAGCCAATTTCACAAGCTACTTTTAGATGAAAAACATACTGAAATTGCTCCATCGTTTCAAAGAATATCACCATTTAAACACAATAACCCCAAAACCTCTATCATCCAAAAATGCGATTTCAAGAATCGTCGTTACATTTGTTTTCAAACATCACCAGCCATAAAACCTCAGTTTAAACGTAAAAAATATTCAACAAAGTCCTTTTGAAGGCCCGTCTTTTAAAAAAAAAAGTGGATTTCATAAATCATATTGTTTGCCAAACTAGGGTTGTTAATAAAGATATTGTGTACTACGGTTGTTGACAGTTTTGAAACAAGTACTCTGTGTCATTTTCTTTATTGTTCCAAACAGTCAGAATACACAATAAATTGCGTTTTTTTTTATGAAACCGGTTTTAGGGCCATTGCGTTTAAATGGTGATATTCTTTGAATGGCTCGAGCAATTTTAGTACTTTTATTCATCAAGAAGTAGCTTGTAAAATTGGCTTTCCAGTCATTATCATGTTTGGTGCTACACATTTGTTTAAATATGAAATATATTTTTGGGGGTTTGGGTTCCGCTTTTTTGGACTCACCCTGTAGCTCTATATAAACCTCTATAAACAACAAATATTTGAGTGAGTATTGGCTATAACTACAAAAAATGTATATGTTTTAAGCATCCAAAAGGCAATTGACATGGGGGAAGGAGGAGTGCCGGTACCTTTTTTTGCAGTATACTCTGTTTTCTCAATCATTCTGGCCAGTCCAAAATCAGACACCTTAACGATGTTACCCTCTCCCACCAGTACGTTCCTAGCAGCCACATCACAATGAACGAACTTCATGAACTCCATGTAGGCCATGCCGGATGCGATCTATCCGGGGAAAAAATAATTACGTTCACGTTTAAAACGTCATTTAAAATGAACGCTTGGAGAAAATTGGGGAAAGAAAGAAATCTCTACTGACCTGAGCTCCTATTTTAACAAGCTCGGGCAACTTCAGGTCGCGTCCTTCGCCATCTCTTAAGTAAACCAATAGACTGCCGTTGCACATGAACTCCATGACAATGTAGATAGGTTCCTGGATATCGATTGTTGGTATAAAACAATGACAAAAATGTAGGCAACCTGTTTAAATCTGCATATTTAAGATTTTGGCTGTATGGCCTAATCGTTGGCCCTCTCTGCTCAATTCAACTTTGTGAATGTTTCAAAAGAAGTTTGAACTGCCAAACAGATTTGTAAAAAATCACGATAATTTGTTAATGTCAAATATAAGTTATTACTGCGCCTAATCCTTACCATCTCAGTGCAAACTGCAAAGAGTTGGCAGAGTTTAGGATGGCGAAGCTTCTTCATGACATTGGCTTCCGCCAGGAAGTCATTCACAATCATGGTGCCCTCTTTGAATGTTTTGATGGCCACTGGGGTCTTCCCAAGCCAAGTACCTGGGGAAACATAAAAGATTTTCTTTTTATTTAGGATAAAAACCTGAAGGTCATTTCACGGGCACGCAAGAAGCGAAGTAAGCAGCTAACGCAGTAGCCTACAGCACTGCAGCAATCATCAAGTCAACATTACAAATCTACTCTCCGTAGTCTGGGTTTATATCACATTCCGAATATTTAAATCAGCCGTACTTTGCACGGTTATATTCTGTAATCGTTACGTTTCTTTTTTTTTTCTTTCTTAATATCAGCCGTGCGGAGCACGCTGATATACTTTGATCGGTCACCAAAGGTCACCAACTGGTCAGTAGGGGTCAATTTGCGAAAGAAATTACAAAACGCTTATTCTTTTACATTCTTTTGCCGATTTCAGTCAAACTTAATGAGATGCTTTTGCAATTTGGGAGCAATGGTCAACTTGATCTCAGTGTGAGTCAGTTTTCAGGATAAACCTTTCAAAAGGCTATTTAGGCTGATACCCGTGATTCGTGAAGCACAATAGCTGTAGTAACTATTTGTTTTCCTCTTTTTCCTCTCCCCTCCCCCTCTTTTGGGCGTCTAAAACACTTTCCGAAAGGCTTAATTTTGTGTTTCTAATTTGCACAAACAAATTACCCTGCTACGGTATTCCCGGTCCCATCATTATAGGATTTTATCGTCTTTCCTGTAAATATGAATTATTATCGGGTTGTTGATAATTCCCATTTGTAGAGTAATAAAAGCATTCCGTAACTATTTGTGAGGTCCGCTCATAAGTCTGACGCCTCATAAGTCCGAAATTTTGGATTTATTAGGCGTCGGACTTATGAGGCGTCGGACCTATGAGGCGGACTTTATGCCTCATAAGTCCAACGCCTCATAAGTCCGAAATTTCGGACTTATGAAGCGTCGGACCTATGAGGCGTCAGAGTTATGATACGGCCCCATTTTTTTTCAGTCGATGACTCATTCAAATATTAAAATGTTTATAGTGCTAAAATTAAACAATAAATGTTCATAATGAAATCAAAAAAATCACGAACAGAATAGCCTCCATCACTGAAGAAAGCTACTGAAGTAATATTGCATATTTTCATGAGCATTAAAAACGACCTTTAAAGACTTCTCCAAAGCGGCCAACCGAAAGCTTTTCTCCTAGCGTCAGGGCCTCGCGGGGAGATTCCCAGTCATCTTTGTCCAAGCCCATGGTTTTTTGGGTCTCCTTAGGGCAAGGGTCGGAAAGATTCAGTCCACCAGCATCCCCTACAACAAAACATCGTATAAGTGCATCACTACCGAACGTCATTAAAGGGGAACATGAAATAAGATTTATATGACTTAAATACTTTGAAAACAGTTTTCTTGTCATGTTTATGACTTTCCCACCTCCTTTGTAGCAGTAAAAGGGAGAAATTTCAACATTTTAGTTTTATGCTAATGAAAACTTCCATATTCAAATATATGATGTCATTCAAGGCAGAACAGAAATGTTTCCATATCTTTGTGTACAAATATATATCAAATTTTCTTCATATTCTTGGAGTAGGTTCCACTTTTTACCTGTTTATCATGTTAACAAGCTTGTTCGGACAATAGCAGCGGCAAGTATTTCTTCATAACTTTTTATTGTAAGTAATTTTGAAGGACTAATTTGTGTACTGTTCACATGCTGTTTTGACAAGGAGTTCCTTGTGTGGCAAAAGCAAAATAGCGCCCTCTTACATGTATTGATTAAAGGATTTGCTAATAATTGAAAAATTATCACTTTCTTGTCACTTCCAATGAAAAGAAGTATTAGGAAAAAAATGTATGTATTGTTGCAACACATAGTAATAGTGTATGTATTGTTGCAACACATAGGTGAGCTGAATTTCCACTGCATGTTTCCTTTAACGGATCTCAGTAACCGCTCCTCATACTTTAGGCAGCAAACTTTGACCAGAACTTTAAAATTGGTCATTTATTTTCGTCTGAATTTGAATGCACGTCCTTATTCCTATTTCAATTCAACGAACGTTCAATCGTTTTCACTTTCCGTGCATTCGGTTTTGAGAAACAGACGGCCAATTACGTTACCTGTGCATTCATTTACGCAAGCATACGTTTTCTAAATTGATTTCAGGTACAGCTAATTTGATTGACGGTTAATGAAAAAGAAACCCCTAATTTTATTTGGTGCCGATGGCCTTAAACTAAAAGTGAAATGGAATGGTGAATGTTTGAAATCACCATTTACAAGCGAAAAAGAAGTCTTGTAAACGAACATGAATGGATATTAATGAAAGGTGCTGTTCAATCACTTTAACTGATTGAACTGAAATGGAATCGAATGCTCTTGTAGCGAAAACGAAACGCTTGTTCAGAGCGATTCTCAAATTCAGACGAAAATGAATGACCGATTTTCAGAAGTGAATGAACAAATATTTTAAGGAAATTGGCCGGGAAACATATATTAATTTAAACTACTGAGACCACAAAGTAACACCTATGACGATTTCAGGGTGTTTTTTTAAAGACACATGGGACAAATCCTAGAGAAATCGAGAGAATTATGACAAAGCTGTTTGGACCCCTGTACATTTTAAATGGGCCGATCTCGCTTTTTGCCTTCCGGCCCACGTGCGCATGCGTATAAGTATTTGAATTTATTGGCAATGTATTGGTCTATACTGTCAATCTCCGCAAGCAAGTATAATGTTCAGAATCTAAGCAGACGTACAATAATCAAAATCAATTTACGAGACAATAATAGTTCTGAGTTGAAACCTTATTTTCTCTCAACCATACTGGCGTTTTCATAACAACAAACTTACCTCGGTAATGACGGAGTAGATCATAAAGACATTCAAACTCTCGTTGATTGTTACATTCAGTATCAATTTTGAATTTGTGGTTGACGACCGTAATCTTGTAGTGTATCACTCGGTTGTCGTTACGGACAGAAAGTGCAAACGAACCTGTTGAAACAAAACATCAAACTGTACTACTGCGTCACCTTGTACAAACTTAAATGTCCAATATCACATCGTCAATGTGTCCAATATCATATCGTCAATGTTCAGTATCCAACTTGATATTAGGGAGGTTTCGCAAGCGAACGGATACGCTTATACTTACGTTTAGCTATCCGGATCCGTTTTTTACTTACGTGTAGCGAGCGAGATATGCGTGTCGTCTGCACGTATGACGTCATACGCCACTCACTATCCGCTAAACGTGCAGACGACACGCATATCTCGCTCGCTACACGTAAGTAATAAACGGATACGGATAGCTAAGCGTAAGTGTAAGCGTATCCGTTCGCTTGCGAAACCTGTCTATTGAAATAAATAACCTACACTTGCATGCTGTACAGACGTATGTGAATGTCAAATGTCCGTTAAAAAAAAACACTTTTTCTGCTATTTAACTTATCTTATACCTAGCTTGGACTCACTATCCCGCACGATGAACATTCCTTGCTTGACACCAGGCTGTAAGAGTTTCCGCTCAGCATCAGTGCGACTAAGACCACCAAAGTAACACCTGAGAATAAATCGGTAGAGCTTTCAAATACGGCCTTTCAAATATTGGGTTCTCCGCCCAACAACAAAATCATGATTGACTCAAACAACATACAATGGGGCCTAATAAGGCTATTCGAAATAAAATTACTATGTGTACTTATTCTGTTTCAACAACAGTGGACATGTTATGGCATGCGAAGTGCAGGCTGAGGCCCACATACATGTACGGACCGTACCAGCACATCGCGTGCAGGTTTGGGAAGTATGTGCAGTGGCGGGGCCCGACTCTAATTGTTTTTGTTAAGGAAAAGGGGGCAATGAGGGGTGGGGTGGCAAGGAAATATTTTTGGGAGGCAGTCAATGGTTCCTAAATAAGCCACTGGAGCAACTTAGCAGTGTAGTCGTTTTTTTATGAATGAGAAATGTATCAAACCGCAGAGTGGTGTGTAATATACAAATAATGAATGTTTGTGAGTGCAATGGTAAGAATAATTTCATGAGGTGTCAGATATGGAAATATGGAACATTTCATCTGTCCCCGAATGAAATCATTCTTTCCATTGCACGAACATGAAACATTCATTATTTGTTTTATATAACACCTGAATAAATCCTTGTCATCTGATTGGTTAACTTTTAATAGCCAATTTATGCAGATTAAAAACTTTTTAAAAGTTCGACAACTTCACCTTTTTTTGTTCATGCAAACTCTTCAACAGGTTGAGAACCATCACATTCAACATCATGTTGTCCATTAACAATTAATCATATTAAAGATTTTGCTTTTCGTCACAAACTAGCAATGAAATTTCAAACAACTTTAAACTAAAGCTGGAAATGGGCATAGAAAAAGCCATGGACGAGACCACGGTCTAGATATTAATAAAATGGGCTTAATAGCTAGTCCTGCAAGGGCGCACTTCTGAATTGAAATGGACCGCGCAGCAGAAGTCCATTATCCAAAAGTCTTAGTCCAACACTAACGTGAGAGGTGCAATGAAGTTCTTGGGGACATAGCCTTCTCGACCCGTCTTTGTTGACCTTGCCACATACCAACAATCATCATCATCATGACTATAAAAACAGAAAACATGAATTCATTTTAATAAGGGAATAAATGTGTGCTTTTGAGGTTTTAATCGCTCTGTTTAAGACCGCTGGCGTCTGGGTGCTGATCAATTACCCAAGCCGAAATACATTTTCGGTAAAAAAAAATCAAACATTTCGGTAAAAAAAACGATTTGTTCAACAAGTTTTACTTCATGTCTTTTTTTTTAAACACCCCTAGCTAAATAATGGATTGTCCAGCTCGCGAATCCGGTTCATTAGTGTGACTTCATCTCAATTCAACCATAAGTACTTCACACGGAGCACCAATGGAACCGTAAGTTAACGCACCTCGAGCGTCTATCCAATGGGCGCTACTTATCAGACGCGCGCGCGCGTGTATGACGTTTTTACTAACGAACCGGATTAGATGTAAACAACTCCCTTTTCGCAAGCGAACGGATACGCTTACACTTACGTTTAGCTATCCGTTTTTTACTTACGTGTAGCGAGCGAGATATGCGTGTCGTCTGCACGTTTAGCGGATAGTGAGTGGCGTATGACGTCATACGTGCAGACGACACGCATATCTCGCTCGCTACACGTAAGTAAAAAACGGATACGGATAGCTAAACGTAAGTGTAAGCGTATCCGTTCGCTTGCGAAACCTCCCTATTTGCGCGCGCGTCGCACGTACTGCTCGATGTCGCGCAGAATACACGTACCTGGGGGGTTGCGTTGTGAATTTAGGACAATAAAATATCAGTCAGTGGCCAGTCACGCACACAGCCACCAGTTATTATAAACAGAACTACACATACTTCCTGGATGGAACTATACTTGAAACTTTACATGTCATATGTCACACAAAAAATACCGAAACAGCCCTGTGTTTGTCCACAAACATAAGTCTAGTTTTTATGTGTTTTTATTTGCTGGCACGTGTGTTGGCGACCACTTTGTGTAGTGTACCCTATATAACACAATCAGTATGAATAACCTTTGCACATGATATATTTACCTGTTTTGTATTATGAGTGTTTCTCCAATGCTGAGGCTCAGGTCGCTTTCCGAATCCGCCTCAAAATTCCACAACGCAACATATTTCTGTTCTTCAGATACAAAATAAAGTTCAATGTTATCGCGTATTAATGGTGCTTTGTTTCCAATAGGCAGGTTATTTAATTGTTTTAGTTTGTGGGTTGGATCGGAATGGGCCCGGCGCGGTTGGGGGGGGGGGGACGTCGGGGGGGGGGGGGGGGTCGAAACCCCTCTCTTACACCCCTCCCCAAATGATAATAGTTATAGTAATAACAATGTGCTGCATTACCTGCAGGCCGCCTGTCCGCAGCAATCGGACAGAATCTGATGCGCGTGACCCACCCCTTGCAAAAATAAACCATGGATGGGCCGGGGTAGGTTAGTCTATGTAATAGACCACGGCGAATGCCGTGGTCTATTACGCGTGAACAGATTTGCTGGTTAATTAGGCAAGATCCCGCCTCTTTGACTTCCTAGATTTTGACCAATCAGCAGGCGCTTTCTATAGGTCTATCGGGTCTTCGGTCATTCACCCGTCGCGCGTCATAGACATGGATTAAAAAAAAAAAAAAAAAAGTCACGGCGCGCGGCGCTCGGTATCATGTTACGCGAATGCGTTCCCGGCTGTTGTTGTATTACAAAACGCTGCATTCGAATTGACCAATCACAGCGTTAGTCCTGATTTTGGGATGAAATGACGTCACGATTTAGTAAAGTCGACTCTGATTGCCTGGCGCGCGGCTTGCATAAATCTGCATGTTTTGACATATCAGACGTTAGACAGGAGATGGCTCCGTGGATAACGGGTGATACTCAGACTAGGGGTAGGTTGGGTTAGGTTCGTTTTAATTGGGTTCGGTTGGGTTGATTTGGGTTTGGTTGGGTATACGTGTGTTGGGTTGGGCTGCATAATTATGGTCGGGTTTGGTCGATTTGGGTTGGGTCCGGTTGGGTCGGGTTGGGTTGGGATGGGTTGGGTTGAGTTTGGTTGGGTTGGGTAATTGGATTGAGTTGAGTTTGTTTCTGCATTCAATAGGGACTTCGAACAATAGAGAACAATGGGGTCCCCAATTTTGGTGTTGGTTGGTGTTGGGTTGAGTCGGGTTTGGTTTGGTTTGGTTTGGTTCGGTTTGGTTTTGGTTGGTTTGGGTTGGATTGGGGTTGGGTTGGGGATGGGTTGGATTGGGTTAGTGTTGGGTTGGGGGTGGAGTTGGGTTAGGTCGCGTTGGTTAGGGTTGGGTTTTGGTTGGGTTGAGTTGGGTTGGGTTCGGTTTGGTTTGGTTGGCTGGGTTGGGTTGAGATTGGGTAAAGTTTGGGTTTGGTTGGGTCGGGTTAGTTCGGGTTGGGTGGGGTTGGGCTTTGGTTGGGGTTGCGGTTGGGTTGGGTTGAGTCGGGTTTGGTTTGGTTTGGTTTGATGTAGTTTGGTTTGGTTTGGTTGGTTGGTTGGTTGGGTTGGGTTGGGTTGGGTTGGGTACCAAATTTCCCGAAGGTCCCCAATTTACGATCATGTTCAAAACATATGAGAGGTCTTTCCAAAAGGTTAGTGTACAACAGTGTTGAAGTCGAGTACTTTTTCCGAGTGCCGAGTACTTAGGTTGCCGAGTACGAGTACGAGTACTTGTACCTCCGAGTACAAGAACGGGTCTCCGAGTACGAGTATTTGTACTTCCGACTACGAGTACTTCCGAGTGCGAGTACGAGTACTCGCATTTCCGAATACGACCATACGGCAAATGGTTCATTGTGCGTAATGCCCAGGACCAGTCAGATATGCAGACCCACACACGGCTAGCTGTTAAATGTATTTGTCTGGACTTGCACAAAGGAAAATCAGGAAATCTCGGTTTCTCCAAAACCCAATCAACCATTTCAAACTGAAAGTATCGATAAAATAAGGCCACGGTAATTGAAGCTATAACATCCCCCCGCCGAGTAGGCTACTGCTATTCGAGTACGTGTACTTTAATGATCGAGTACAATTTCGACATGACGAGTACGAGTACGTTGCTGTCCGAGTACGAGTACCGTCATTTCGAGTACGAGTACTTTGACATTCAAGTACGAGTACCGAGTACGAGTACTACAACACTGGTGTACAAAGAAAAGAGGGGTTCTGGTGGTCTCGATTGCAGACAAAATAATACACAACACTTGTATGGGTTGGGTTGGATTGGGTTGGATTGGGTTAGGCTGGGTTGGGTTGGGTTGGGCTGTGTTGTTTCTGCATTGAATAAGGGACATTGAACAATTATAGAGGAGGGTCCCCAATTCCCGAGAGGTCCCCAATTTGGATTCGTGTACAAAACTTATAAAAGGTCAACAAAAACGGGACAGTAGGGGGCCCCGATTGCAGGTGAATACACCATGACATGGGTCTGGGTTAAGGTTGGGTTGGGCTGGGCTGGGTTGGGTCGGGTTGGGTTGGTTGGGTTAGGTTTGGTTTAGTTGGGTTTGATTGGGTTGGGTTGGGGTTGGGTTGGGTTGGGTTGGGTTGGGTTGGGTTGGGTTGGGGTTGGGGTTGGGGTTGGGTTGGGTTGGGCTGGGCTGGGTTGGGTCGGGTTGGGTTGGGCTGGGTTGGGTTGATTGGGTCGGGTTGGGTTGAACTGGGTTGGGTTTTGTTGGGCTGGGTTGGGTTGGTTGGGTTAGGTTTGGTTTAGTTGGGTTTGAATGGGTTGGGTTGGTTTGGGGTTGGGTTGGGTCGGGTTGGGTTTAGTTGGGTTTGATTGGGTTGGGTTGGGGTTGGGTTGGGTTGGGTTGGGTTGGGGTTGGGGTTGGGGTTGGGTTGGGCTGGGCTGGGTTGGGTCGGGATGGGTTGGGCTGGGTTGGGTTGATTGGGTCGGGTTGGGTTGAACTGGGTTGGGTCGGGTTGGGCTGGGTTGGGTTGGTTGGGTTAGGTTTGGTTTAGTTGGGTTTGATTGGGTTGGGTTGGGGTTGGGTTGGGTTGGGTTGGGTTGGGGTTGGGGTTGGGGTTGGGTTGGGTTGGGCTGGGCTGGGTTGGGTCGGGTTGGGTTGGGCTGGGTTGGGTTGATTGGGTCGGGTTGGGTTGAACTGGGTTGGGTTTTGTTGGGCTGGGTTGGGTTGGTTGGGTTAGGTTTGGTTTAGTTGGGTTTGATTGGGTTGGGTTGGGTTGGGTTGGTTGGGTTAGGTTTGGTTTAGTTGGGTTTGATTGGGTTGGGTTGGGGTTGGGTTGGGCTGGGCTGGGACAGTAGGGGGCCCCGATTGCAGGTGAATACACCATGACATGGGTCTGGGTTAAGGTTGGGTTGGGCTGGGCTGGGTTGGGTCGGGTTGGGTTGGTTGGGTTAGGTTTGGTTTAGTTGGGTTTGATTGGGTTGGGTTGGGGTTGGGTTGGGTTGGGTTGGGTTGGGTTGGGGTTGGGGTTGGGGTTGGGTTGGGTTGGGCTGGGCTGGGTTGGGTCGGGTTGGGTTGGGCTGGGTTGGGTTGATTGGGTCGGGTTGGGTTGAACTGGGTTGGGTTTTGTTGGGCTGGGTTGGGTTGGTTGGGTTAGGTTTGGTTTAGTTGGGTTTGATTGGGTTGGGTTGGTTTGGGGTTGGGTTGGGTCGGGTTGGGTTTAGTTGGGTTTGATTGGGTTGGGTTGGGGTTGGGTTGGGTTGGGTTGGGTTGGGTTGGGGTTGGGGTTGGGGTTGGGTTGGGCTGGGCTGGGTTGGGTCGGGTTGGGCTGGGTTGGGTTGATTGGGTCGGGTTGGGTTGAACTGGGTTGGGTCGGGTTGGGCTGGGTTGGGTTGGTTGGGTTAGGTTTGGTTTAGTTGGGTTTGATTGGGTTGGGTTGGGGTTGGGTTGGGTTGGGGTTGGGGTTGGGGTTGGGTTGGGTTGGGCTGGGCTGGGTTGGGTCGGGTTGGGTTGGGCTGGGTTGGGTTGATTGGGTCGGGTTGGGTTGAACTGGGTTGGGTTTTGTTGGGCTGGGTTGGGTTGGTTGGGTTAGGTTTGGTTTAGTTGGGTTTGATTGGGTTGGGTCGGGTTGGGTTGGTTGGGTTAGGTTTGGTTTAGTTGGGTTTGATTGGGTTGGGTTGGGGTTGGGTTGGGCTGGGCTGGGTTGGGTCGGGTTGGGTTGGGCTGGGTTGGGTTGATTGGGTCGGGTTGGGTTGAACTGGGTTGGGTTTTGTTGGGCTGGGTTGGGTTGGTTGGGTTAGGTTTGGTTTAGTTGGGTTTGATTGGGTTGGGTTGGGGTTGGGTTGGGTTGGGTTGGGTTGGGTTGGGGTTGGGGTTGGGGTTGGGTTGGGTTGGGCTGGGCTGGGTTGGGTCGGGTTGGGTTGGGCTGGGTTGGGTTGATTGGGTCGGGTTGGGTTGAACTGGGTTGGGTTTTGTTGGGCTGGGTTGGGTTGGTTGGGTTAGGTTTGGTTTAGTTGGGTTTGATTGGGTTGGGTTGGTTTGGGGTTGGGTTGGGTCGGGTTGGGTTGGGCTGGGTTGGGTTGATTGGGTCGGGTTGGGTTGGGCTGGGTTGGGTTTTGTTGGGCTGGGTTGGTTGGTTGGGTTAGGTTTGGTTTAGTTGGGTTTGATTGGGTTGGGTTGGTTTGGGGTTGGGCTGGGTTGGGTTGGGTTGGGTTGGGTTGGGTTGGGTTGGGTTGGGTTGGATTGGGTTGGTTGGGTTAGGTTTGGTTTAGTTAGGTTTGATTGGGTTGGGTTGGTTTGGGGTTGGGTTGGGGTAAGGCTTGGTTGGTTTGGGTTGAGTTGGGTTGGCTATCTTCTATAAACACACGATTTTTTTCTAAGGGCTGGAGAAAAGGGTGCACTCCGGAGTTTCACGCGCAAAATACATACGAATGGATTTCTCATCAAAGCAGGAATGTAGAAACTCGAAAGTGTGTCTGGCTGTAGGGTCCTTGTCCCAACATTTCAACATGAGGTTGTACAGACTGTCTGGGCATCCCTGCATCTTGGGCATGCGATAGCCATGGGTAACCATCTTCAAAACTGCTTCATCTGTCAGACCTGTTGGAGGGTTGTGGACAAATCTGATGTCTTTAAACTGCATGAGAAAAAAATTACAGTACCCTGCCAGGTGTTCAAGACCCCCCTGGAAACATAATAACAAAATTGACTTATGTGTTCACTTACAAAATGTTAAAAAGGGGAAACAAATAACCACTATTTGTTTTGAAGTGGCATTTATATATCGTACATACAGGAAAAGGCAGAATATGAAAGAAATGGGGGGGGGGGGATAGTATAACCCGTGAGGTTACATAGACAAAGTAAGACTGTAAGAGACGAAGTGGTACTTGGGATGATGTGGTTTATTCGGTTGGCTGTGACGCTCTCTGTCTGATTCCTAGATTCTACTGGGTTTTTATACAGTAAATGAACATTCCAATCTTACAGCTATCTTACAGGTTTCTTGTCTTATTAGGAATCGTCCACTAACTAATGAATATTAATAATACAGAATTGAAGGTGTTTGGTCAACTTGTATCTGGGGGCAGGGCTAGGCAAATTAATAGAACAATCGGATTTCCTTATAAGTCTGTGGGCTGAATCACTGTGGCCTTCCGATGCAGCCCAGCATCCACCCACGCGGACCTTGTGGCTAAACTGGCCATTCCTTAGATGTGTCTCATTACCAGGAAAGTGGTCATGTTCCTTGAAGGTCAACGTATACAACTTAAACAGTAAATATAAAACATGATATTTTATCATGGTGATAATAGCCTTACCAGGATATGGTGAACTGCAGGTAATCATCTCTGCTAGAAGAAAACCAAAAGACCAGACGTCGGACTTGACGGTAAAACAACGATCTAGGGCAGCCTCAGGTGCCGTCCACTTGACAGGGATATCTTCATCTGATTGGAAAGAAATGGACCATGCCACAAGTTTTTTTTCTTCAATGTTTCAAATTTCAAAGCCTTTCATTTAATTCCTGGGACACGTTGTTGTAACTTTAGTTGATAGCAAGCGTTGTGGGTGGGAAAAGGGTACAAATCTTTGGAAAAAAACTTTAAACCGGACAATGCCATCGAATTTGTCCGGTTAATTTACTTGTGTAAAGAGTTCCAACCTAATTCGGCCTTGTACGCGCCATTCTCCATCATCCTAGTCATTCCTAAGCCAGCTATCTTGACGAGTTTTCCTTCCCCCATGAGAACATTCCTGACTGTCAAGTCACGGTGAACCATGTTGTGGGAGCCAAGGTAGTCCATTCCGCTTGCAATCTATGGTAGGCCAAAATAACATTCAAATCCAAAGGACCAATAATAAATGCATATTGCAAGCATCGTCCAAGTTAGTATTATACCTGAGGTAGTCGACATCTCATGTCTACTTTGTTAACACGTCGTTGCTAACATCCAAAACAAGTTTAAGATTACAAGACTTCAGAGGAGGATCAGACGTGTGAATGCTCGTCTAAATTTAGGTTTGTTATTGTTTTTGTTCATATTTTTATGGAAATGACCATGGTTATACAGTGACAGTAATGCTACGATTTATGAGCAAAGAAGTATTCAAGAAATACATTATGCCATAAGGATATCATCAAAGCAGAACAAGTTCACGTAAGACGACTTACTATTTATATGTCCTCTTACCTGAGCTCCGATTTCATAAAGATCCGGTAAGTCTGGATCATATTCTTGGAGGTAATCTGCAAGACTTCCGCCAGACACCCACTCAGTCACAACGTACATTCGCTGGCAGAAGTAGGAAATACACGAGATTAACTTGTGAATGATACCTACATTTCATATTCACTGTAATGATGATCTAAATGAATTCACTAAACAACAAAAATATAACAGTTATCAGCGCTGAGAAACTTCAATACCTCATTTGTGCAAACCCCTATCAATTGGCAGATGTTGGGATGACGTAGTTCCATCAGAATGCTGGCTTCGAGTAGAAGTCCTAAAGGAAGCACATTGTTCTCTCCAGATGTTTTAATAGCCACCGGGATCAAACCGTCCATGGTACCTGAGAAAAAATTGTCATGAAAGCATGGGCCAACACATTCGTATTGATTATAGCAATTCCACTATTGAACAGCCTATCTTAAGGCTAAAAAAGTATCCGGTTTCTGGTATGGAGCTTGCCCCAAAAGTTGTGCGGCGACGCGTTTTTTTCCTTCATTTTACTTCTTCAAATGTGTTGCAGATGACGCTTCGATCCCCTTAAAACTGAGCTGCCAGGACTGGTCATGTAAGTCTGCTCCCTTACAAATTGCGCTACATGTATTATTAAAAAGCGTTTGCATGTTCCAGATCGCGACCATCGCTCCCTCAGTCTGCAGGCTTCCAGATGCACAATTACAAAATTACAACACCGTCTGCAAATGGTGCCCGACTAAATTCAGAGAGGCCAAATAAAGCTTATACTCGATCGTAACCCCATCTAAAAACAACTTTAAAATTGTGCAGCAGCAGGATTCCAGTCAAACCAGTGAGTTTGGCGGTTTTGAGACATCATCTTATGCAGAAAAACAGTTTTAATTTTGCCGACGCGCACGGTTACGGCGACGCGCGCGCAGAGAAACTGGAGACTTTTTATTTGACCTAACCCATCATTACTAATTGATTGGTTCAACCCAAACTGCAGTGTGCCCGAAAAAAGACAGGTTGAGTGCTTTAAAGTATGTTCAAAGTGAAAAACTCAATGTCGCACTACCGGTAACATGTCATTTTGCTATAGAGGACAAACTCATCATCAAACATTGTTTCATTGCATGACATACACTTTCTTTGCCTTTTTGTCATTGGCTTGCGCAACTTTAGGTGAACATATTTCCTGCCTTGGTAATGAAATATTGATTGTGGGTTAAATTTTTGTATTGCAAATAATGAAGACAGCTGTATCTTACCAGCCGGTATTCTCTCACCTTTCCAAACTTTTCCAAAAGACCCTCCTTGAGAAATTTGGTAGTCCTGCTCCAGAGAACGTAAAGAAATCGCAAAGGAACTCCATTCCGTGGAAAACAGCGCTACAACAAAGACAGATTGCATTTTGTCACAAAAAGGAATTAAATCTGACAAAGCAAGAAATAAGCCTTGTAGTTTAAATTGCATGAAAAATCAATATCATACTTGAAGTCTTTTAACTGATCAGTTTTTCAATCTGATGACCAGAAACAACGTTGAGCTTTGAACAAACTGTGATGAATTTTATTTTATTTTCAGCAGATATAAGGCCCTGATCGTATAACCGGCAGCATGGTCTTCCTTGTGAGGTGAGGTCGATTTCATATCGCCGTATACCTTTTCTTGATGACATAATTGGTTTTTACTTATCTTCTTAAAAAGTCTCGAAGTTAAACTCCGGCAGGTTAATTGTCTCTCATCACAGATAATAAGTTGTATCTTTTCAAAATTATCAGGTTACGGAGATTATTAACTTATGACATCAAAACATGAGCTCTGGTCAAACTGAAAAACTGAATCTAAAATCGCCCTCCTACCTGGTTCAGAGAGGCGGACAACCTCATCCATACTGGGCCGCCTTCTGTAGTCTGGATCCCAGCATTCCGTTAGGAGGTTACGCAGGGGCTCAGGGCATTCCGTCGGGATCTCTAGGCTTTTCCGATCGGTGGCGAGTGCTGCGGCTATTTCATATGCAGACTGTCCGGCGAAAGGTGTCTTACCAGTGAGAAGTTCCCATATGACAACAGCATAAGAGAAAACGTCAGACTTTGGTGTTACTTCGTCAGGATCATCGTGAGACTTGCCTACCTCTGGTGCCGTCCAGGGAGAAACTCCACACATGATGATGTCTGCGCTAGCTGTACCTTGGCTGGCAAAGCCAAAGCCGCAGATTTTCAGCGTGTCGGCCCTTGTGATGACCAAATTTGGAGATTTCACATCTCCGTGATGGTATTTCTTCTGATGCATGAATTGCAAACCCCGTGCCAACTCAACAGCCCATTTTACCCAGCGATGCTTTTTGAAATCTGACCAATCATCTCGATGTTGCTGTATAAGATTGCACAAGGATACCCCTTCGGTATACTCAATCACGGTGAGGTATGAGTCGGAAGAAAGTGGTGCAACTCCCAAAAACTCGATGATGTTTGAGTGGCGCACGTCTTGCAATATCAACGCGTCTTCCCTGCGGAACTTGGCGCAGTATTTCACGATGACTGCCCTTTCACTATAAGGTGATACATATTTTGCTTTCCACACCATGTTCAAGCCCCATGCCCAAGGGAAGCTCATTTCGGATTCCATTATTATCTTTTTCGGATCTATCTCGATTAGTTCCTTTTCCTGTTAAATAGTTCAACAGAAACAAATAGTTCAAGATTAACGTGAAGAAACCAGTGTACAAAAGACTCCGCTGACCTCGGATCCCTGACAGATCCAAGGTGCCGGTACTGTATAGAGCGTGTAAATTGACCCTAAAAACTTGCGCAATTTTACGAGAATATACAGCAATCTGGGCACCAACAGCATATTTTGTAACATGAATGGGACCTTGAACCCATCCCATCATGGGCATTTCAAAAGAAGGGAAAGTATTACAACTTCGGCCTACAACATGCGAATCGATGACTATTAAAATTAAAATAGTTGACCTCAAATTCCGTTCAATCGATCACGCGGATAACAAGTGGGTGAATTCAAACACGGGAGGCTGTGACTAGACTAGTCAGTGTATGGAACCGAGACGTTCACATAAAAGTGATTGTGGACTGTGGACTTACACGCTCTGTTTTCTGTGGACCTCTCTCTATTAGGCTAGTCTGAGTATCACCCGTTATCCACGGAGCCCAGTCTCTTGTCTATCCTCTGATATGGAGTACCGAAGTGAATACGTCACGCGCATAATCTGTGTGTGAAAGACATTAGCGCGTGATTTGGCCCGTGAACCATAGTGAACCAACACGCGCGTACTCCATTCGTTTGCACCATAGATATAGGTTTGCATTACACTTTCTGGTTCTTAATGACGTCACACTTCGGTACTCCGTATCAAAGCATGCAGATTTATGCGATCCCGCGCCTCAGCCAATCGGAGACGACCTTACTAATTCGTAACGTCATTTCATTCCCAAATCAGGACTAAATATTTGATTGGTCAGTTCGGATGCAGTGTTTTAACAACAGCCGGGTGCGTATCGCGTAACACAATACAGAGCGCGTGACCACAGCCTGTGTTGCTGTCTCAAGGGTTTTCTTTTTATCCTATGACGCGACAACGGGTGAATGACCGAAGGCCCGACATAGAAAGCACCCACTGATTGGTCAAAATCTAGAGGTCAATATGCGGTTGTCTTGCCTAATTAATCAGCGAATCTGCTAAAACATTATATCTATTACATGGACTATAGAACTGTGGATGCGGGAACAAAGTTTTAGATCGTCTATCTCGAAAACTAAAGTTTTGGGCCTCTCGCCCCATAGACTAAAAAGGACTTAAAGAAAGTTTTCAAGGAGTTTGCTGGTGATAATATGCTAGTCATCAGTGCCTGAACTAATAAATCGAGATTTGCAATACAAGTCTTGTGTGACTGCAACATAATTCTAGGAAACATGAGAAAAGTGTAGATTAAAAGTGTTAGGAATTTGAACAAAAACTAAATACGACTGCAAGCACTTGTATGAAGTAACTTCAGACTTAGTTTCGTGACATCACATTTGGGTGGTATGTGCATGAGAAGGAACTTTTCGAGACCAGCAAAAAATAGGCTTACCTTATCTTGGTCTATTGTACCATATCTTGGTCTATTGTGATACGAAAGAAACATTTTTCTCTCTAAACAAATAAAACATGTACTGACCATCTTGCAATCAATGTCATGGTCGTTTACTCTAATTAAGGATAGGCCTAACTCTCATTGTAAAAAGACTGGTGGAAGTTATGCAACCTTTTACATGCATCTACTACATGTAATGGATGGCTGAGTTGTAACCTCGCCGTCATATATTATAGCACAACCTATATTATAACACTATACACGAACCTCTATTTCCTTATTCTATTGTTGTTTGCAATGACCTTTCATAGTGATGTATTGGTCCAAAAATAGGCTTCTTTGAAAAATTATATTGTAGAAATGTAGAGGGGAAAACCATTTCAAGTAAACTCGTCGCTTAAAGTCTTAAGTTTACTTCAAATGGTTTTCCCGTCGAGAATTTTAATAGTGTCGAGACATCACATCTATTTTGTGTGGCATGTGCACCAAATGCCGGCACACCAAAAATATTGTGTATTACTCTCACTGCGTTACCACTCAAAATGTAACAAAAGTATTGACACCTATGTTCCGGTAAAATACAGGCTTCGGAGGGTTTCAAAAGAAGGGATTTTTCAAGCCTGGTAAAAATAGGCTTTATTTACTATATCTTGGTCATACTTACTCTCTAAAAAGTCTCTATCAGACTGACCCTGTATTCGAAATTGTTTTTGACCAAACCCTTTTCCGGGTCAAAACGGTTTCGGGTCCAAAATGACCGGGAAAAGTGTCATTTTTAAGCATTGTTTTCAGATTCGGATTCCGAGTCAATCTTACCAGAGACTTTATAAATTGCAGGCATATACAATGTATACTGACCATCTTGTAATCTGAACAACGTCACAGGCGTGAAACAGGCCAGCATTCCTCACAGAAAACAAACTGATGGAAGTTCTGGAACTTCTAAAATGCATCAATTAAGAACGGGAGTGAGCCGCTCGCCGCAGTATCTTTCAATCACTGAACACACATTGAAAACACCCATAGGCCTACACGAATCCCCCTACACAGAACTCTCTGTTACCTTGTTCTATATATAGTGCTGTGTGCAGCGATCTTTTAAAGTGACATATGGGCCCATAAATAGGTCGCTTTTGATCAATTTCTAAAGAAGGGAAAAACCATTCGTCGTTGCCCAATTTATAATCTGTAAAATTTATGGTACCCACAGATTGACGCACTTCAGCCCTCAAATGCATCAGTAGTATGGCCTATTTGCGTTGTCTTTCCGACCGAGTAGGTCGCTTTATTTTTCAAACATCACTTTTGCATATTATTATACTGAATAAAAAAACGACCAGTGTTTCTTTTAGTGCATCAATTTCCACGTGTACAAGTACATTGCAGTGGATACACAAAGTCATGTTCCCAGAACTTTTTACGAAAACAAAAGATGAATAATCATAAAATTGTGAACAAGTGAACATTTTTCCTGCTTCTTTTACTTGGGGAAAATAGTTGTATAAGGCATCATTTCAGCGGGAGAAAACTTTCATTGTTAATACGAGTACACGTATTAAAGCGTAGTCTGCTTCGAGTATCACTACCAGTACGAATACTACAAAAATATAATTTCAGTATATATACTTTGTATATAAGAGAGTACCAAATGTACAAAAGAAATACCACAGGGTTTTACAGTAATTCACATTGAAATCGCAAATGACTTTCTCATTTCGTCAAAAAAGAGGAGGTCGCAAATGTCACTGCAATTAATGTACGTTGTGAAAAGTGTAAATTCTCCCCCACACAAAATCACACAACTATAGGAAAAGCGCCCTCATGTTTCGGTAGAGCGGGAGTTATTGTCTAATTCCCAGACCAAAACTATTTGTACCGCTCTAAACGATGAGGGCGACAGATGAATCAAGTCATTTGTGGTTCTAGCTGACTGGAGGCGTGGAGTTCGCCGTACTGTACCTGGTAAGAGTCTAAAGGCCGGTTAATACTCGGTGCGAAGGCGAACGCAAATTTGTGACGTCGTGTCAAGTATTCGCGCTGCGAATTCGTAAAAGTTGAGCACATTTTAACTCGGCGAATTTCGCAGCGAACGTTTCATGACGTCAAATTCGCTTCGCATTCGCGTGGAGTATGAACCGAGCTTATCTAGTGGTGAGCAAATATCTTGTTTTGTACGCCTGGAAGTTGCAGTCGTGGTAGGATTTTAGGTTTTCCAGCCAACCCGGCCCCCTTTTCCTGGGGCGGAGTTCCGTTTCAGGTTCCGGTTTCTACTAGAATGATCTATCAAACCCAAATCTAAGCGTTTCTGGAGCCCGCGGTGGAACAACAGAGCGATATAAATAGTTTACTATCTAGCTTCTTTCTCTTTAAGTAATTTTATGTCTGGGTACCACTTTAATCAGATTTCTCAGAGCTTACATTTACACGTGGGGAACGTTGATAAATCTTAAACCATAATTACCATACATGTGCAGCTTAAACATAGTCCAAAATGTCACGATGAAAAAACCCGGGCGTACACATTTATACCAAATCAAATTCAAACAAATTCAAAATAAGATAAATCTACAAGAAGAAAAAAAATATGCTTTTACATAGTCCGTCCTATAGCGAACTTTCAAGTACTCCAAGGCTAAACTTTAGAGATTACGACACTCAATCACTTTGTTAAAATGTGTTTACATGTAATTTCGCTTACTCCGGTCTTATACAAACGGGAATTACGTTACCGCTGACTTATAAACTAGTATTTCACTAATTATATTTTCGGTGAATTATGCAGATAGTATACTTAATATTTTAACTTATTCTAAAAATATGGCTTATGTAATATCATCACGATCAACTGCAAAGACTACATACGTAAACATTGTCCTTTCATGATGCTATAGAGCTCGCCAGTAATGCAATATATCATATAGCATAATCATTGAAGAACGTATACTTGAAGACGTCTAAATTATTCACAATGTGTTTTTTTTTCATGATTAATGCACATAAAAATGAAGCAATCCATCTGTAACACACAGAAATGGATCAATGTTGGTTTAAGGTTCGCGTACCTTGGCAAATATTGGGCCAATTTTCCAATATTGGGCCAATATTGGATACACACCTGCGGAGACCACCTTAGATGTACCGGTTTTGCCAAAATAATCCCACTCTTGGACCTATCTGTGCTGGCTGGGAAGTACCAAAATTGCTCAACAAATTCCAACCACAATTGCTTACGAAATGCAGTAAAAACTTTCAGCTTATTTTGAATACATATATTATTAAATGTATACAGTTGCGCTACTTTGTTAAAAGGCATTTGTTGGAAGTATAGAGTACACAATATCATCATTCGGAATTTGAAATCTGTTGCGGATTATGCAAATTAATATAACTCGTCTCCTACTAGTAATATATACAGGAACCATTCCTACATAAGACACATAAACGTTATTTCTAGTTTTAAGCCATATGCACAAAGTAAAGATGTTTGTCTTCTCAGTTGTATCTTTCAGGGAAGACTGGTCTGCATTCTGCGGCCAGAGGCACGTACAAAAAGCATCAGTTACCTCTGCACTAAATTAAAATAAAGTGGGCAGTTACAATCAAAAGAAACCTCAGGTAAAATTTTGAAAATGTTCTGGAATTGTGGATGTTGTGGAGTGATTATGTTATTGTGGGCATATGTGGATGTCTTTAATTGACAGAATCCTTGCGAAATGTGTACAGTACATTTATCTTATTAGTACTTTTCTCATCACAAATTTTATTCAACTTCTTAGCAGTCTGGTTTCGTTGAAACGAAACAATGATCCAAGTAGGAATACATGAACTCAAAGGTGTGTCTGGCCGCGGGATCCTTGTCCCAGCAATTGAGCATGAGTTTGTACAACGTTTGAGGGCAATCAGCCATCTTGGGCATGCGGTAGCCGTGTTGAATCTCATCCATGACATCCTTGTTCGACATACCTTTGAGAGAGAACAAGTAGGGCCAAATAGGGAAGGATATTCTGTACTGATCAGTCGCAATTTGAGCAAGATGTGCCCATTAGTTTTTGTGTTAGGCAAAACAGTTTTGGAAGGGGGATTTTCTGTTTTCGTTGAGTGTATGAAATTAGCACATGTAGAAGTATGCAAGGAGAGAAAATTAGTAATCAAAAGTCCTTTCCAAGAGGAATTGAGCACAATTAGGAATTGAGTGCAAGTGGTCTGCTGTTAAAGAGAACTAAACGTAAACACTGAACTTGAATCTTTTCACAAATCAACATTTAATTAAGCACTAATGAAACAGGTGTTCCAACCCCCCCCCCCCGAAAAACCAGACTACTGTCAGTCTTACCAGGGTATGGTATACATCCATGCGTGACCAACTCAGTCAGCAAGACACCAAAGGACCAGACATCAGACTTGGTGCTGACTCGTCCGTGCATGAAAGTCTCAGGGGCTGCCCATTTGACTGGGAAAACGCCTGCAAAGGACATTCCAAAATACAAACGCAATACGTTTATAGAAGATACACGCAGGGCTCAAGTTGCAGTTGAGTGCTCCATATATTGGTTGTACTTAGGAAGTACACTTCGCCAAAAGCTCCTTTGCTGAGTACCGCAGGTATATCAAGTGCAATTTCTTAATTCACGAACTCGAACTATAAATTCCATGTATAAAGGTCAAACTAGCCATAATCTACTTTCTTAAAATTGCTAAGTCGTCCCAAAATTCATGGAAATATAGCAGACTCACACTTTGAGGTCGGCATGTGGGGCGGGGCGAATTACTAGCCCAGGAAAAAGTATGTGAAAAAAATGTAGCTCTATAAACTACAGATATTTGAGTGAGTAATTGGCTGACGTTTTAAGCATTTTTTGTCAAAAAAGCAATTGACATGGGGGAAGGAGGAGTGCCGGTACCTTTTTTTTACAGTATACTCTGTGTCCTCAATCATTCTGGCCAGTCCAAAATGGGGTTGGGTAAGGCTGGGTTGGGTTGGTTTGGGCTGTGTTGGGTTGGCTCGAGTTTGTTTCTGCATTGAATAGGGGACATTGAGCAATAGAGGAGGTTGGGTTGGGCTGGGATGCGTTGGTTGGGACGGGTTGGGTTGGGCTGGGCTGGGTTGGGTTGGGCTGGGTTGGGTTGATTGGGTCGGGTTGGTTTGGACTGGGTTGCGTTGGTTGGGTCGGGTTGGGTTGGGTTGGGTTGGATTGGGCTGGGTTGGGTTGGGTTGGGTTGGGTTGGGTTGGGTTGGGTTGGGTTGGGCTGGGTTGGGCTGGGTTGGGTTGGGTTGGGTTGGGTTGGGTTGGGTTGGGTTGGGTTGGGTTGGGTTGGGTTGGGTTGGGTTGGGCTGGGCTGGGTTGGGTTGGGTTGGGTTGGGTTGGGTTGGGTTGGGTTGGGTTGGGTTGGGTTGGGTTGGGTTGGGTTGCGTTGGGTTGGGCTGGGTTGGGTTGGGTTGGGTTGGGTTGAGTTGGGTTGGGTTGGATTGGGTTGGTTGGGTTAGGTTTGGTTTAGTTAGGTTTGATTGGGTTGGGTTGGGGTTGGGTTGGGGTAAGGCTTGGTTGGTTTGGGTTGAGTTGGGTTGGTTATCTTCTATAAACACACGATTTTTTTTCTCTAAGGGCTGGAGAAAAGTGTGCACTCCGGAGTTTCACGCGCATAATAAACATACGAATTGAATTCCTATCCCAGCAGGAGCTTAGGTCCAAACAGAAGTGTAGAAACTTGAAAGTGAGTCTGGCTGAAGCGTCCTTGTCCCAACATTTCAACATAAGGTTGTACAGACTGTCTGGACATTCCTGCATCTTGAGCATACGATAGCCATGGGTAACCATCTCCAAAACTGCTTCATCTGTCAGACCTCTTGGAGGGTTGCGGAAAAATCTGATGTCTTCAAACTGCATGAGAAAAAAAATATACAGTACCCTGCCAGGTGTTCAAGACTCCCCTTAAAACATAATAACGAACGTATTGACTTGTCGATGAATACACGACAGGTTATGTGTTTAGTTTGCAAAATGTTAAAAAGGGGAAACAAAAATAACCACTATTTGTTTTGAAGTGGCATTTAAATATCGTAAATACAGGAAAAGGCAGAATATGCAAGAATCGAGAGAGGGGGAGGATAGCCTTACCAGGATATGGTGAACTGCAAGTAATCATCTCTGTTAGAAGAATACCAAAAGACCAGACGTCGGACTTGACGGTAAAACAACGATCTAGGGCAGCCTCAGGTGCCGTCCACTTGACAGGGATATCTTCATCTGATCAAAAAGAAATGGACCATGCCACAAGTTTTTTTTTCAATGTTTCAAATTTTAAAGCTATAAACTCGACGTTCCGGTCAGTATGCTTTGACCGTCTTCAGGAGAAAGGTCAGAGTCTTCAGGAGAAAGGTCAGAGACGGTCAGGGCAATGACCGGAACGTCGAGTTTATACCTCTGGTTCTTTTCAGAACCATTCTCTTAGTTGAGAAATTATTCGCACATGGTGTTTCCGCAAACCTTTCATTATTTAGTATCTCCACCATGCAAAGCCTCAAATTTTACTTAAATTTCAAAGCCTTTCATCTAATTCCTGGAACACGTTGTTGCAACTTTAGTTGATAGCAAGGTTAAAGCAAGCGTTGTGGATGGGAAAAGGGTACAAATCTGTGAAAAACAAACTTTAAACCGGACAATGCCTTTGCATTTGTCCTGTTAATTTACTTGTGTATAGAGTCCCAATCTAATTCGGCCTTGTACACGCAATTCTCCATCATCCTAGTCATTCCTAAGCCAGTTATCTTGACGAGTTCTCCTTCCCCCATGAGAACATTCCTGGTGAACCATGTTGTGGGCGCCAAGGTAGTCCATTCCACTTGCAATCTATGGTAGGCCAAATAACATTCAAATTCAAAGGACCAATAATAAATGCATATTGCAAGCATCGTCCAAGTTAGTATTATACCTGAGGTAGTCGACATCTCATGTCTACTTTGTTAACACGTCGTTGCTAACATCCAAAACAAGTTTAAGATTACAAGTCTTCAGAGGAGGATCAGAAGTATGAATGCTCGTCTAAAACTTAGGTTTGTTATTGTTTTTGTTCATATTTTTAAAGTAATGACCGTGGTTATACAGTGACAGTAATGCTACGATTTGTGAGCAAAGAAGTATTCAAGAAATACATTATGCCATAAGGATATCATCAAAGCAGAACGACTTAATATTTATTTGTCCTCTTACCTGAGCTCCGATTTCATAAAGATCCGGTAAGTCTGGATCATATTCTTGGAGGTAATCTGCAAGACTTCCGCCAGACACCCACTCAGTCACAATGTACATTCGCTGGCAGAAGTAGGAAATACACGAGATTAACTTGTGAATGATACCTACATTTCATATTCACTGTAATGATGATCTAACTGAATTCACTGAACAACAAAAATAGAACAGTTATCAGCGGTGAGAAACGACTGAAATTCCCGACCTTTCACGACTTCAATACCTCATTCGTTTGGCAGATGTTGGGGTGACGTAGTTCCACCAGAATGCTGGCTTCGAGTAGAAGTCCTAAAGGAAGCACATTGTTCTCTCCAGAGGTTTTGATAGCCACCGGGATCAAACCGTCCATGGTACCTGAGAAAAAATTGTCATGAAAGCATTGGCCAACACATTCGTATTTATTATGACAATTCCACTATTGAACAGCCTATCTTAAGGCTAAAAAAAGTATCCGGTTTCTGGTATGGAGCTTGCCCCAAAAGTTGTGCGGCGACGCGTTTTTTTCCCTTCTTTTTTCTTCTTCAAATGTGTTGCAGATGACGCTTCGATCCCCTTAAAACTGAGCTGCCAGGACTGGTCATAAGTCTGCTCCCTTACAAATTGCGCTATTATTAAAAAAGCGTTTGCATGTTCCAGATCGCGACCATCGCTCCCTCAGTCTGCAGGCTTCCAGATGCACAATTACAAAATTTCAACACCGTCTGCAAATGGTGCCCGACTAAATTCAGAGAGGCCAAATAAAGCTTATACTCGATCGTAACCCCATCTAAAAACAACTTTAAAATTGTGCAGCAGCAGGATTCCAGTCAAACCAGTGAGTTTGGCGGTTTTGAGACATCATCTTATGCAGAAAAACAGTTTTAATTTTGCCGACGCGCACGGTTACGGCGACGCGCGCGCAGAGAAACCGGATACTTTTTATGTAACCTAACCCATCATTACTAATTGATTGGTTCAACCCAAACTGCAGAGTGCCCGAAAAAAAGACAGGTTGAATGCTTTAAAGCATGTTCAAAGTGAAAAACTCAATGTCGAACTACCGGTACCATGTCATTTTGGCTCGTGCAGGTACCTGGTTTATGTGGAAATCTTTTGTTCGGAAGTCCACATAGTGAATGTAATGCTTGTCCACCAACACACGTTTTGTTTATGGTGTAAATCGAGGATTCTGTTTTGTTCCTCGTCCCTTTTTCTTTGTTTGTACACGTTTTCGCAACAACTCTCATTGGTTTTGTACACAATTTCCAACCGAGGAGTCCTCGATTCAGTTTCTGACCTCGATTCACCGATGATGTTGAACGTGTATGTCCTTTATTTTACATCATAAACAAACACGTACACACAAGTGTGTATTTGCGTGCAATCGGGGACCCCCTATTGTACTTCTTTTGTTTGTAATTGGGGACCTCTCGGGAATTGGGGACCCTCAGTTGTCCTCTATTGTTCAACATCCCCTGTTGAATGCAGAAACAAACTCACCTACCCTTTTCACTTTATAGTAATAGTACAGTGGTACGATTACCCAATAGTATACGTCTGCTGTCATCGCACATCAAGGAGCTCTGGACGAAGTATAAAACCCCTCTTATTTCGAACTCCCATATAGTGAAGCGGCATAGCCCCAATATCTCCAAGAATTTTTCACTTTAGGATAAAATTATGAAACTTTGCATGTTCGTTGTTCATGCCATGAAGAAAATTTTCAAAAGCATGGAGGCATTTCATATTTGACCTCTTGTGACCTTTGAAAGGTCAATGACATTTATAAACACTATTTATAACAATTATTCTTCAAAACCTCACTTTCTTATATATACCCAAGACTACGTCATAGGTCTTCATACAATGGAAATAATAATCAGATGTGGGAACAATTCACATCTGACCTCTGGTGATCTTTGAGAGGTCAGTGACCTTTGTAAACCTTATTAATAACTATTTGTAAGATTTGCGCTTTAAACCCCAACTTTTCACAATCCAAGTCTAAATCGTAGGTGTTCATGCTATGAAGAGCATTTTCATCTAGAACATTTCATATTTAACCTCTGGTGACCTTACGAGAGGTCATGACCTTATCTATAGATATAAAGAAGAATTACTCTTGTAAGTGTATTTTTTCCATGACCCAAGTCTAAAGGTTAACTCTTTCGGCCATGAAAAGAATTGACAGATATGGGTACATCATTATTTGACGTCTGATACCCTTGGAGAGGTCAATGAACTTTGTATACCTTACTTGTCGCTATTTATCATATTTATCCCATTTGTTCGTGACCCAAGCCTAAGTAGTGCCAAAGCAAAGTATTGCACCTATTATTCTACAGTCGTGTTATGAATTCAGACCCCACAAACAATTTTGAGGTGACCTCTGACCTCCTTTTTCATTTGCAGACCGTGCTATTGGAATGGAAATCTGTGGGACTGTTTTGAAATGGAATATGTACAAATGTCAGGCAGTACCCACTCTTGTGTACTTCTACACTCTGTTGTATCCAGAAGGACTTGGGTAACCACGTTTTTAACCTTTTTACCTGGCCAACTGGTCACTGTTACAGAGTGATGTCCGATATGCCTCTGATATTATGTTGCGCCTGCGTCTGCCCTTAAAAAAGAGAAATGGAGATCAGAGGTCATGAAAATTGTCTTTGGGTCTGAATTCATGACGTGCTGTGGAATAGTTGTTAAAATAACTTCTTTTGCACTATTTGGACCAGGGTCACGAACAAGTGGCATTTGGAAGATTAAATATGATAAATACCGTCAATTAGGGTATACAAAGTTCATTGACCTCGCAAAAGGTCACCAGGGGTAAGATACGAAATGTCCACATTAAAAAAAAAATTAAATTAAAAAAAATCATGGCAAGAATACATAAAAAAAATATCATGGCAAGAATACCCAAATTTAAGATATGGGTCATGAAAAAGTGGGGTTGAATAGAAAATCTTAAAAATATCTATAAAAAGGACATAGAACCGATATGAGATGTTTAATAAGCTTACTTTCAGTGACGTATTGTAGATTCTTTCCAGTTAGGTTTTTTTCGCATTTTCTTTTCCTTTTCCTACCCCCCCCCCCTTCCAGCCCGCGAACCCACCACTCCACCACCCCAAAGACCCAATCGGGCGCCATGGCTACGCCACTTGTTGTTATAGCCCGTCACACGAGACAGGCAATGTACGGGCAATCGTCAATACCAAAATGACAGTCCAAAGCCGGAAGCGTTTAATTTCCGCAAACTGTCTTATAAAATGTACGTTCTCTTCTCTGGGATTCTCTGGCTTCTAGTAATTCTGGTTCACCTCAAAGATGTCTGTGAATATGCCACGTCCCCGTGTGACGTGGTTGGGCGTAAGTACACGAGTTTTAAAACAAAACCGCCATTATTGATGTTCGAGGCTTGCTTAATTGCGCACTGTCAGAAATTTTGTCATAATTTCATCGGCTGCCTCTATTCCAAGGCTGTACTGACTGATCAACAGCTGTACCCCTGAATCGCAACGATGACTTTTGGCAAAATCCCAGTGTTTTTATCACAGCCATACGGGGAGGCGTGTGCAATACCTTCCTCAACATTCCGAGTGTATACTTCTTCTTTTCGCTCGATAAACATTTGTTGCACTGGAGAGTGAAATGTCTGATTTGGTAGATCACCTCAGGAAATAAATTGAAAGAAATAAATTTTCCATTACATTTGAAGTACGTCAGACACCAAAATTCTTGCGTATTAAAGGAAATTGAATGCTAAGCCTGAGGGGCATTTTCAGCGCGAGGCCTGTTGATTCAGAAGCGTTTTCTCATCTTTGAATGTGACTAAAGCAATTTTAGACGCGAGACTGACTTTCATGGCTTGATTGCCTTCTGGTAAGACTTCGATTAAATTACGCGGCGCTAGTTGTCGCTTGCACAAAACGTCGGACTTTATGACAGAGTTGTTGTGACATTTAAATGTCATATTTTTATTACATTTAGATGTCCAAAATATCACAGCGTAAACATGCAATATACCCAAAACTCGCCGAACAAATGAAAGAAAAGCAAAACAATATTTGCCGGTGACATTGCATACATTGAACACAAGAGTAATGCGAGGTGCAGGATGCTCTACGGATTTTCTCCATCCCAACCACCAAAGAAAAATATCAACACACCAAAGCTCATTTGTGTGAAACAATCCTCGACTGAACTGCATTACCAAGGGAGTAAATTTGTCTCAAGGACAAGGGGAGAACAATGCTTAAAATCCTGAAACCTTTACTTTATCGGAAATTAGTTTCATTTCCACATCTATTACGTCAGAGCGAACAATTTAAATTATTCTTTACTAACGGAAAAGAGGAGCAGTACATGGGACTTTTGTGCAGGACAGCAGCTGAAGTCACCGAAGTGTTACTGAGAATCGTATACATTCTGTGATACAAAAAGTATTGGTTGTGTATTTTAATTCTTAGCATTAATTCGGGCACGCTATTATATCACGGAAGCTCCCTTTATAATGACAGCATTGTGTGCTAGCCATAGTCCTGTAAAAAAAGAAAAGAAAAAAAAGGATTAACTGTTATTTTGTACATAGCTAGCACAATGTATTCGCCATCAAAGAGGGCCTATGTACATGAGTGTAAAGTGTACGTAACTACAGGGCGAGTCAACGAGACCCAAATGTCGGGACTATTGTTTAAGTGAAGTTCTGTATGTAGCACTTTCTACATCTAGGGCATGAAAGCCCAATTCATAAGCTTTGTTTTAGTACAAGAATCATTCAAATCACTTATGTACTTTTAAAGTTACGGAATTTTAAACACAACCACCGTTTTTAAGTTCTGTCCACGGATTACAAAAAGGTGTGCGTTCTTTCAGCAAAACGAAAACAATTCACACACATCCCTATGTGATTTGTTTTTGTTTTGCTGAAAGAACACTGAACTTTTTTGTGATCCGTGGACAGAACCTTAAAACGGTGGTTGCGTTTAAAATTCCGTAACTTGAAAGTACGTGAGTGATTCCAATGATTTTTAAACTGAAACCAAGCTTATGAATTGAGCTTTCATATCCTAGATTTTGCAAGTGCTACATGCAGAACTTCACTTAAACAATGGTCCCGACATGTGGGTTTCCTGTTTTCTGACTCACCCTGTATTCGCCATTAAAGAGGGCCTATGTACATGAGTGTACAGTGTAGGTTATTATGGCTGAGTAGTTAAAAGAGGGTCCTGGATGAGTCCCAATCCCTCTAAAGTCTTTTTTTTTGGGGGGGGGGAGGTATTAATGCATGCCTTCAGTCATGTTCTGTATAATGTTTGATGTAATGTCTTAAGTACCAACAATCCATTTACGCAATCATTAACTCTCTACTGCGGAGCGTCTTTGTATAATTTTTAAATTGTTTTTAATTTTTAACTGGTTCATTTTTCTTTTAAGCGCCTTGATTTTCCGTAAATTTTGACGGATTTAGCGCCATACAAGAATTATTATTATAATTATTATTATTATTATACGTTTAAAGGTATCACCAAGGAGACACGTTATCGTAATTTCTTCGCACGATGGGAAACATCGGTCTGAAGGGAGACATTTTCATGTCTCCCTAATGTCAGAGCCCCCCTTTAGAGGCACATTTTTGCTGTCGCAATTAATTTATTAATTTATAATTGTTGCTCGTGATCTAATTTGTAAACATACCGAAATTCGTGGGAAAAGGACAAGGAAACAAATTTGTGCACAGGTCTAAGGGAATATCTCCCAAAATTAATGTCCAATCCAGGGTAATCACTATTATTACTACAGATTTTCACGAACAGCACAGCTGTGTTGACTTTATACAGAAAATGTATACATCCAAATCCACCTGATTCTCCATGTTTCCTTTTAAAACCTGTTAACGAGGCCGTTCTGCTGCGATTTCAGTCTAAATAATATTTTTGGAGGGAAGGGGTGTCAAGAAAAGAAGTTATTAACGGAATCCGTTTTACAGTGGTGGTAGGAAAACAACATTTAATCAAATAATTACTTATGTGCTAAACTCTTGTAACTTTCAATCAATCCTGCACGATTGTAATCATTTTTTTAAAGTGTTGAAAGCGCCGTGATATTTCAAACGTGTCGATCCATCGATTGAAATTTTAAAAACTCGTTATGAGTTACACCATGAATGTAATTCATTTCTCGCTTGCTTTAGAATTGCATACATTCCGTAATTAACATTTAATGCAATGTAATTGAAATAACACTCTAACGTTGTGTACAGTACCCAACTCTGATCTCAAACTTGTTACTGCAGTACGACGATAGTGTGAAGTAATTACATCTGGGGTACACATTTTGGTGGCTCAAAGTACAATATAGTCATGTCTTTGTATTATTGGCCTACGGTTCCACTGCACTAAATACGTGCTAATAGGAAACAACGCAAAATCTGACACAAAGAGCGCCGCCTTGTGAAGCTCAGGAGCAAGGCGGCAACCTTTTTTTTTAAACTGGAAATTAAAGATTACTACTTCTAGAACGATTTTCTGTACAATTATACCAGAGGTAGCTCGTCATATTTTTTTATATTCCCTCTCCCAAAACCAACCCTAAAACGGTTGCCTATCCTGGGCCCAGGCCTAAGTAAGCCCCCCCCCCACCTTTATGCGAAATACACCCGTAAGTTGGGCTTTATTCGAGCAAAACTATATACCCGAGTTAGAAGCCACGAGTCACAAAGTAATGCCTGATCTCTATAAATATTTGTGCAATCAATATCCCAATATAGGCCGCAAGGCCCTTTTAATCAAAATTATCTGTGGGATTACAAAATATTTTTGAGCTCGCGCGCAGGAATTTACAGCTACATCGTGTACTTACTTGCGTGCAGCCTTAGGTTTAAAAAAGTACTTTTTAACTGATTGCTGATGGACATGCAAATTTGACATCAGATGAGAGGAAATGGTTTTAAATATAATACTTAATATTTCGAAGAAAAAAATGTTACTTGGGTTTTCACCAGAAATGTTATGGATTTCTGATTACGAATTTTATCAACATCGATGAAACATAACTAAAATTAAATAGCTATAGAAGGATATGACAAAGTAGCATACCTCTTTCTGATAGAAGATTAGGATGCTTTCATGCAGTATTTAAATTCACCATTTCGGGAGTTTAGGGAAAATACGTTGAGGAACAGCTAATCTCCACTTTTTTTCGCTTTCGTTTTTCAGATTCCACATTAGAATTAATTTTCAATAACATGCGTAAGTATAGCCTAAGAATTTAATCCATTTGACAACCAGTAGAAGCCGTAACGTTTCTGTCAAACGTCATGCCATGTGTTGATCCAGCTAGAAGTGTCTGATTTGGTAGATCACCTCAGGAAATAAATTGAAAGAAATAAATTTTCCATTACATTTGAAGTACGTCAGACACCAAAATTCTTGCGTATTAAAGGAAATTGAATGCTAAGCCTGAGGGGCATTTTCAGCGCGAGGCCTGTTGATTCAGAAGCGTTTTCTCATCTTTGAATGTGACTAAAGCAATTTTAGACGCGAGACTGACTTTCATGGCTTGATTGCCTTCTGGTAAGACTTCGATTAAATTACGCGGCGCTAGTTGTCGCTTGCACAAAACGTCGGACTTTATGACAGAGTTGTTGTGACATTTAAATGTCATATTTTTATTACATTTAGATGTCCAAAATATCACAGCGTAAACATGCAATATACCCAAAACTCGCCGAACAAATGAAAGAAAAGCAAAACAATATTTGCCGGTGACATTGCATACATTGAACACAAGAGTAATGCGAGGTGCAGGATGCTCTACGGATTTTCTCCATCCCAACCACCAAAGAAAAATATCAACACACCAAAGCTCATTTGTGTGAAACAATCCTCGACTGAACTGCATTACCAAGGGAGTAAATTTGTCTCAAGGACAAGGGGAGAACAATGCTTAAAATCCTGAAACCTTTACTTTATCGGAAATTAGTTTCATTTCCACATCTATTACGTCAGAGCGAACAATTTAAATTATTCTTTACTAACGGAAAAGAGGAGCAGTACATGGGACTTTTGTGCAGGACAGCAGCTGAAGTCACCGAAGTGTTACTGAGAATCGTATACATTCTGTGATACAAAAAGTATTGGTTGTGTATTTTAATTCTTAGCATTAATTCGGGCACGCTATTATATCACGGAAGCTCCCTTTATAATGACAGCATTGTGTGCTAGCCATAGTCCTGTAAAAAAAGAAAAGAAAAAAAAAGGATTAACTGTTATTTTGTACATAGCTAGCACAATGTATTCGCCATCAAAGAGGGCCTATGTACATGAGTGTAAAGTGTACGTAACTACAGGGCGAGTCAACGAGACCCAAATGTCGGGACTATTGTTTAAGTGAAGTTCTGTATGTAGCACTTTCTACATCTAGGGCATGAAAGCCCAATTCATAAGCTTTGTTTTAGTACAAGAATCATTCAAATCACTTATGTACTTTTAAAGTTACGGAATTTTAAACACAACCACCGTTTTTAAGTTCTGTCCACGGATTACAAAAAGGTGTGCGTTCTTTCAGCAAAACGAAAACAATTCACACACATCCCTATGTGATTTGTTTTTGTTTTGCTGAAAGAACACTGAACTTTTTTGTGATCCGTGGACAGAACCTTAAAACGGTGGTTGCGTTTAAAATTCCGTAACTTGAAAGTACGTGAGTGATTCCAATGATTTTTAAACTGAAACCAAGCTTATGAATTGAGCTTTCATATCCTAGATTTTGCAAGTGCTACATGCAGAACTTCACTTAAACAATGGTCCCGACATGTGGGTTTCCTGTTTTCTGACTCACCCTGTATTCGCCATTAAAGAGGGCCTATGTACATGAGTGTACAGTGTAGGTTATTATGGCTGAGTAGTTAAAAGAGGGTCCTGGATGAGTCCCAATCCCTCTAAAGTCTTTTTTTTGGGGGGGGGGGAGGTATTAATGCATGCCTTCAGTCATGTTCTGTATAATGTTTGATGTAATGTCTTAAGTACCAACAATCCATTTACGCAATCATTAACTCTCTACTGCGGAGCGTCTTTGTATAATTTTTAAATTGTTTTTAATTTTTAACTGGTTCATTTTTCTTTTAAGCGCCTTGATTTTCCGTAAATTTTGACGGATTTAGCGCCATACAAGAATTATTATTATAATTATTATTATTATTATACGTTTAAAGGTATCACCAAGGAGACACGTTATCGTAATTTCTTCGCACGATGGGAAACATCGGTCTGAAGGGAGACATTTTCATGTCTCCCTAATGTCAGAGCCCCCCTTTAGAGGCACATTTTTGCTGTCGCAATTAATTTATTAATTTATAATTGTTGCTCGTGATCTAATTTGTAAACATACCGAAATTCGTGGGAAAAGGACAAGGAAACAAATTTGTGCACAGGTCTAAGGGAATATCTCCCAAAATTAATGTCCAATCCAGGGTAATCACTATTATTACTACAGATTTTCACGAACAGCACAGCTGTGTTGACTTTATACAGAAAATGTATACATCCAAATCCACCTGATTCTCCATGTTTCCTTTTAAAACCTGTTAACGAGGCCGTTCTGCTGCGATTTCAGTCTAAATAATATTTTTGGAGGGAAGGGGTGTCAAGAAAAGAAGTTATTAACGGAATCCGTTTTACAGTGGTGGTAGGAAAACAACATTTAATCAAATAATTACTTATGTGCTAAACTCTTGTAACTTTCAATCAATCCTGCACGATTGTAATCATTTTTTTAAAGTGTTGAAAGCGCCGTGATATTTCAAACGTGTCGATCCATCGATTGAAATTTTAAAAACTCGTTATGAGTTACACCATGAATGTAATTCATTTCTCGCTTGCTTTAGAATTGCATACATTCCGTAATTAACATTTAATGCAATGTAATTGAAATAACACTCTAACGTTGTGTACAGTACCCAACTCTGATCTCAAACTTGTTACTGCAGTACGACGATAGTGTGAAGTAATTACATCTGGGGTACACATTTTGGTGGCTCAAAGTACAATATAGTCATGTCTTTGTATTATTGGCCTACGGTTCCACTGCACTAAATACGTGCTAATAGGAAACAACGCAAAATCTGACACAAAGAGCGCCGCCTTGTGAAGCTCAGGAGCAAGGCGGCAACCTTTTTTTTTAAACTGGAAATTAAAGATTACTACTTCTAGAACGATTTTCTGTACAATTATACCAGAGGTAGCTCGTCATATTTTTTTATATTCCCTCTCCCAAAACCAACCCTAAAACGGTTGCCTATCCTGGGCCCAGGCCTAAGTAAGCCCCCCCCCCCCACCTTTATGCGAAATACACCCGTAAGTTGGGCTTTATTCGAGCAAAACTATATACCCGAGTTAGAAGCCACGAGTCACAAAGTAATGCCTGATCTCTATAAATATTTGTGCAATCAATATCCCAATATAGGCCGCAAGGCCCTTTTAATCAAAATTATCTGTGGGATTACAAAATATTTTTGAGCTCGCGCGCAGGAATTTACAGCTACATCGTGTACTTACTTGCGTGCAGCCTTAGGTTTAAAAAAGTACTTTTTAACTGATTGCTGATGGACATGCAAATTTGACATCAGATGAGAGGAAATGGTTTTAAATATAATACTTAATATTTCGAAGAAAAAAATGTTACTTGGGTTTTCACCAGAAATGTTATGGATTTCTGATTACGAATTTTATCAACATCGATGAAACATAACTAAAATTAAATAGCTATAGAAGGATATGACAAAGTAGCATACCTCTTTCTGATAGAAGATTAGGATGCTTTCATGCAGTATTTAAATTCACCATTTCGGGAGTTTAGGGAAAATACGTTGAGGAACAGCTAATCTCCACTTTTTTTCGCTTTCGTTTTTCAGATTCCACATTAGAATTAATTTTCAATAACATGCGTAAGTATAGCCTAAGAATTTAATCCATTTGACAACCAGTAGAAGCCGTAACGTTTCTGTCAAACGTCATGCCATGTGTTGATCCAGCTAGAAGTGAATATCTCCGGCACGGTCAAAGAAGGAACGGAATGAGGACCTTTCTGTTCTTAGGGTAATCTTCAAATTTGTCCAGGTACCATCTGCAATTAGACACAACAAAATAAGGAAAATGAACGTATAGATATCAACCGATCGAGGTCTTTGAAATTTGCTGCTGCGTTCAGCTTTGGTTGTGGTTTTTGTTTTGGCTTTTGGATTTGCTTTGCATTTCGCTTTTCTTTGGTTATGGCTGAGGGGTTTGATTTGGATTTGGATTTGCCTTTTGATTTCAATTTGGCTTCGGACTTTGATTTGAATTGAGATTTGGCTCTGGCTCTGTGTTTGGCTATGGATTTGGCTTTGGTTATGGGTTTGGCTTTGAGTTTGGATTTCAATTTGGCTTTGATTTGGATTTGGATTTGGCTCTGACTTTGGCTTTGTGTTTGGCATTGTGATTGGCTATGTGTTTGGTTATAGACTTGGCTTTGAATTTGGCTTTGACTTTGTATTTCAATTTGGCTTCCGACTTTGATTTTCATTTGGATTTGGCTCTGACTCCAGCTCTGTGTTGAGCTATGTGTTTGTTTATGGATTTGGCTTTGAATTTGACTTTAGATTTCAATTGGGCTTCGGACTTTGATTTGGATTTGGATTTGGCTCTGACTCTGGCTTTTGCTTAGCTAAGAGTTTGGTTATGGCTTTGGCTGTGTGTTTGGTTATGGATTTGGCTCCTGATTTCACTTTTGATTTAACTTTGCCTTTGGCTTTATCTTTTGCTTTAACTGTGACTTTGACTTAACTTTGGGCTCAGGTTTTTTATAATTTCGTTTTGCCATCAATGACTTTGCCTTTGGTGTTGGTTGATATATTTTGAAAAAGGCTTGCATTAAAAAAGGATCGGACCTTGTATTTTCAATTTCATATTTTTTTTTATTACACTCTTACCGATGATGAGCAAACGCCTTGATCAGCCCGATGTAGCCAGCCGTGAAGAAGGCGAACGCCACGCTATGCAGTGTCCAACAGGCTAAGGCGAAGCCGCTCCACTCCACAATCTCACCGAAGTAATTGGCTCCTGAGACATACTCGAACAATCCGCCTACAGGGACGGTAATGCATCAAATTAATTGGCTTGTGAACTATAGAGGCGCTTAAAGGGAAGATACAACATTTGCTAACGTCAAAAAACGAAGTAATCAAATTATCACGAAATATCTTACTGGATTGTTAGGGAAATACATTCTTAAGCAACCTGTATAATCGTGGCTCCTGGTGTGCTGACATTTTCAAGAAAAAAATGTATTTTCCAACGCTGGTCGGCCGAACAGCGTTGGAGAAAGCTGTTTTTTTTTCTCAAAAAGTGCCCTTAATTTTTCATAATTAGTTTTTCCGCATTTTCTTTGCAATTGATTACACAGTTATTGTGAAGGGGTATAAGCCTGCCGGACTGATTCTCTAACCTTACAATTCCCCCAAGTAGACAAACTGCTCCGTTTCATCTTAAGTGAGGTCAGGGAACCAGACTACAAGAACATGATGTTTTCCTTGGTTTTTCCAGCATCTTCAAGCCCAAAACGTGAAACAAGTCAGTTTAACAATATTTGCTATGATATTCTAATTCTTCAAATCCATTTACTTTTGAAAATTTCAGCAAGAGCAAAATGTTGTACATTCACTTTAACTTGATTTCTTAAAATGTGCATAACTTTTGTTATATAGTTTTACTTCAGATTCAATCTTTGAATAATATATGGTCGGGAGCTCAAAAGGCTTATGACCTCTCAACTCAAAACTGCTGTTTTATAACCACACAAAAGCTGCCTTATAATATTCATTAAGGGATCATTTCCCCTGTGTAATTTATTACGTGGCTGTCAATGAAAGAAAAAAAAATTGTCTCTTGGGTGCTATCCTGGGAGGCCAATGACGTCCAGAAATCTATCTTACTATCTAATTGATGTGTATGAAAGCCGTGCAGGATAAAGGACATAAAAATATACACAATGTAAAATTTAAAGTTGACATTAAATCTTATTAATGATAGCAAAATATTTCATCGAATCAGGACCCGTATTTTTTTTAAATCAAATTGAACTCAGCTGTATCAAAATACAGCTGAGCTTTTGGCTTTAGATTTGGCTTTTTACTCGCAAGTCACTTCATTTGGTTGGAATATCTGCCTTTAAATTTGAGTTAAATTGACAAACAATTTTCAAGGTGCACTCAAAGTGACGAGAGGAGTCACAGCATTTGTTTGATTTTTTTCGTCGAGAAATTTGTCGAGACGTTCACATCTCTTGTAATGTCATTCAGGTGCGCAAAAATAAGGCGCCAGATTATTATCGGGGCCAGGCGTGTTTTACGGAAGATTTTTTTTTTTCGCGGCTGGGAATATTTCGAACAGCGAGGTGTCCTGTTAAGATTGCATCGGTGTTCAAGGTGAGGATTTGATTAAGAAAACACTTGGCCAAAGGCATGAGTGTTTCGTAGCTGATCTTACGTGGAGATGTTTTCACGGGGTTGTCCTAAACGAATTGAGTGATTAGGTTGGGATATTTTTGAAACATCCAAGAAATGCTGACTTCGGTATTGTATAATTTGTGTATAGGTTGTCTCTTTTAATGGAAAGAAAATGATAAAAACGTTGGGGCAGTGGTCTGGAGCAATTTTCCTTCTAAAATGCAAATAATTATGTTCACATTATGTATTTTTAACTCGTTCTCCGTTCTTTATATAAACATTTATTTGCTGAAATTTTGCCTTCATTTCTGTATTTCTATATTTCATTTTATTTATCGGCCAACTTAAGTTGTTTGGGCTTTTAGATCCAAGTCTAGCTAATCAAAGTATTGTTGCCTGAACGAGCATGACAAACGTTTAGCCACATTACAATCAATCATTAGGATGTATACTATGGCTACTTTTCACTGATAAGGTAAAACTAGCTTGAAATTTCTCCAATTGTGCCAGGCAATGATGCCTAATATTCTGCAAATATTCACATAAAAGAAAGATTAATTCCCGCCGAATCTAAGACATATCTGTTTTAAAATCAACAGCTGAGACATGGGCTTACCCCTTGGTATTTTGTAGCCCGTCTCTCCAGGTTTCCTTAGATTCCTCAGGATATGATCAGAATGAACGTTGATGGCCATACCGGTGAAGAATAGAACCACACCTGTCAAAATTAGGATAGTGTCTAAATTAATATACCTCACCTGTTGTCTTGGGGTGGTTTCGGTAGCATTGAAGGACAATTAACAGAATGTGCCCAAAGTAAAATAAGTGTCTTGAGGCAAGGCATTTCCGGTGTATCTCACAAAAGAACATTAGACCATCACTCAAGAAAAAAAAAAACTTTTGATATTTCTCATCGGCTAATGATAATTTGATAACGCATTAGGCACGTGGAAGACTTTACGAAAGCTGCTCTGAGTTAAATAATGAAACAGCCGTCATTTCATTGAATAACGTCCACAATGTGAAATAAATGTTTGAAATATACCCCAATAACCTTTACAAGTAAGCAGTGCTGTTATAGGATCCGTATTTTCTTTGGGGAAGGGTATATTTTTGGGGGGAGGTGGTGGGCGGGGTTAGTTTTTTTTTGGATATTGGACTCAATGGCAGTCTCTCTCTTGTTTGTCTTCTCCGAAATCCGAGGGGGCAGGGGGAACGTGGGGGGAAGGAGGAGGGGCCGGGCTAAGGTCTCGAATGGAGAGCCTTGCATCCAGTGGCTCCCCTTAATTACGCCATTTGATGTAAGGATGCATCCTTTATGCACCCTTCTCCTTTCCTGTTTTTATCAACTGAACATGAACATTACGAAGTAAAAAAAACTAGTTCTTTTAAAATAACTTGAGAATAATACTTGAAAACACGGCCTCTTTTTTTTTTGCTTCCCTTTTATAAAGCACCCATGTGACACACAACTGGTAGCAGTGAAGGTAAAGAACATTAACGACGAAACCAAATCTCAGTTTCCGAGGGCTTAAAAGGTACCAATCAGATACTCAATTCTTACCAATGATAAATCGTGGGCCCGTCAACCAATTGGCGTCGTACACTGCGTATTCAGTGTGGTAACGGCCAATCATGTAGCCATTCAAGGCACAAAAGGTGGCCGACATCCGCAACACATGGGCCGGGATTTTGCTGTTGCCCTTTATCATTAAGCCGTAGATAAATGTCCTAAAATATAAAAGAAATGAAGCTTTCGTGCAATCAGACAAAAACAATTACACCGTTAACAAGATAGGGTGTTAAGACTTGCCAAAGTGTCTAACTTGTACAATATTCACTCGATTTTAAAGGTTTACCCCCAAAAAGCTAATTGCTAACAATGTTTCAGAAACAACGAAGAACGTGTGAGAAATAGAGAATTGGGAGTATTTTTGTGTTTCGATAATCTGTCGAAAGTTGGGACTGGCAAACAAGTTCTCTGCGCACAAAAGAAAATCAAACGCTCTCTAAATTCCAAAGAGTGAAATTAAGGACTAGACGTTTTAGAGTGAAAATCACTCTCATTTTCGATTGACATAGTCTGAAAAATGAAACACTTCCGTCGAAGCTCGAGTGAAACCTCGATCTTTACGATTGAAGACATTTCACTCTAAAACGTCTAGTCCCTAGTTTCCGACTGTGGGAGTAAATCTTCACTCGAATGAAGTGAATTTTTACTCTTTAGAATTAAGGCCAAAAAAAAAAGTCTCCGGTTTTTGGTATGCGCGCGCGTCGCCGTAGCCATGCGCGTCGGCAAAATGAAAAGTTTTTTTTTCAATAAAAGATGATGTCTCAAAACCGCCGAACTAACTGGTTTGAGTGGAATCCTGCTGCTGCACAGTTTTAACATGTTTTTAGATGGGGTTATGATCGAGAATAAGCTTTATGTGGCCTCTCTGGACTCCCATATATTTGCACTAAGTGTAGTCGGGCACCATTTGCAGTCATCAGCCGACATTTGAAGCAAAAAAAAACAGGTAAAAAAAAAGCCGCGTCGCCGCACCACTTTTTGGGCAAGCTCCATACCAGAAACCGGATACTTTTTTTAGGCCTAAGAGAGCGAAAAACAAAAAATTAACATAAAGTTTAGAGGGTATTTCAGTATAAATTTGATGTGAATTAATACAGGGGGAAAAATATGTCCTTTGTGCCCCGCTCACCCAAAAAATCCCTCTGTCTGTTACTTCATCGGCAAAAAAACCCACATGACATTGAAACCCGTACGTATCCGTACTGATGTACAAAACTCATTAGGTTTACGTTTGCAGGGGCGTTGCGAGCTTTTTGCCGATGAGTCCACAGAAGAAAGGAGTGTTTTTTACGCGTACTCGTGCCATCCATTTGTAGCATTTTCATATTTCTTTTTTGTCTGTAAACCTTGAAAGATCGTACACTTTGTGTTTATTGACTAGAGCTGAATCAGCAGAAGCAAGTTTTAATCGGATTCACTTCTGTTAGGATTCTTACGGACATGGCCCAAATTGAGATCCGTTATTTTGCTCGGGGCTTGAACCACCGTTCCATGGACATTGCCGTTGATGTTTAATCAGGCACCATCTGGGAAATTAGAAACTTCGTGTCCTTGGGCAAGGCAATTTGTAGCAACTTGTCATTCAAGGCGGCAGCAAACATCCTGGAATTTTATCTGAAGCGATCGAAGCGATGAGAACTACCTTTTGCGTAATGAACTAACAACCTATACTCGGACTAAGGTCTCGGGGACAAGTATATGGGCCGTCTTCAGCGCGGGGTAAGATGTGAGTGTTGACGACTGGGAAAGATGTAAAAAAAATCCTGACTTTTCCAGGCGTTAAGCCCGGTTCATACTCGGCGCGAAATCGAAAGCGAACGTGAATTATTTTGTGACGTCATGGCAAGTATTCGCGCTGCGAATTCGTAAAAGTTTAACTTATTTCAACTCGTTTCATGACGTCAAATTCGCTTCGCATTCGCATGAAGTATGAACCGGGCTTTATGATTCAAAAGGCGAAAGAGGGATAGGACGCAATTCGATACAGGGTGGCGCTGTTCATCATAGAAACTTGCATGCGCCCTTCACGTTCATTTCCATCAGTTAAGGGTTTCAGCTTTGCAGTAATTATGTAAAACATAGCAAGTTTGTAATCTGGTATATAATAAGCCAGATTCAAACATTACCTTCAACATTGTGTTCTAATGTGATACAATCATAACGCTTCAGTCAAATTAAAGTACAGGTCTTTAATCTGTGTCTTGAACCAGAAATCATCAGTAGCAAATACTTGCTGTAACGCCATAACCTTTGCTGCGAGATTTCCATTGAAAATTGGGTAATAAATGTAATGTGGTTTGGACGAATGGATTGCCATGGTAACTTCAGTAGTTGGAGTAATTGTAGACGAGACTGTGTACAATGCTTTGATATAGAATTTTGGGAATTTCTTCTTGCCTAATGATTATTGGAACCACTGTAATCCGTGTGTTAGTTTTCCATTACTTTTTGGGCCATAATCGAACATAATCACACATTACAATGTCTAATTGCATCGCATCTGGCTTGTATGTTGAAGTGTCACATGCAATGTCTTCTCCCTACCCTATATAACGGTGAGCAGGCTCTTGGGAAATTGCTCCGCCTTACCTTTGTAAATAATGGATGACCATCAATGAGACGAGTACGATGTTAACACGCGAGGCGTTCCTACTGACGTACATGCAGTAGCATGGAATGAGGAACGCATAGGGATATGTCAGCAGGGCGGCTAGCTTGTTGCTGATGAGTCGCTTTTTGGGACCAGTACTGGAAGCTAGATATCTGGGGGGAAAAATCAGAAGCTGGTAGATTTACGTGAATTGTATAACGGCTTTAGAAGGCATATACAGGATCATTTGCTTTTCATGCATTTTGTTCGTTTCCAACACCACTTAAAATCCGAAGAATGTGCGAAACCTATTAAAACACGTTAAAGTTTCAGCTCAGTGGATATGGCTATGCACAAACGTTTGATCACGAAACACGAATTCGTATATATATATATTAAAGAGGTTGTGGAATGCTGAAAGTCGTTTTGTTTTTTTATATTTTCTTATTGTAGAGTAGACCCATATATGTCATAATGACAAAGTCCCATTCTTTTGTAATGTGCTTTCATATGTTTATACACCTGAAATTCATCGAGTAATTTGTTGGTCGGCGAGCGCATAATTGAAATCAACAGTCGTCGGGTTCTTCGTAAAATGAGAAAAATCGTGACGAAATGAACAGGACTCGTTTATACTACGCTGTATCGGGAGTCCTGTTTACTACGTCACGATTTACTATGTTTTGTTTGCTGCCCCCAGCGACGACACAAATTGCACGTTCGGGTCGAAACAGGACCTGAAAAAACAGCTCTCAAAAGTATACCTTTTGTACTCATTTCATGACAGACACAATAGTCGTTTTTATTTCATCACACCTTAGGCTACATATACTCGAAAAATGACGGAAATGTCTTCCAGCATTCCACAACCTCTTAAAAAAAAACCAGTCAATTAACTGATCGTTGGAAATCACCTACATTTATTGGTTTCTTCCAAATGAATGCAGGCCAGACGGAATAATTTCACGGAGTGTTTAGTACCAGTACGATCTTTAGAAAAACAAGTAAGCTTTTTGATAATAATTTGGTAGGTTAATATTGGGATAAATGCAAATGATCCTACGTGCCTTTGAATTTTCTCTCATCTAATTATAATTGACATGAAGTCATTTCGCTTGCACTGGTCTATTCCTGTTTAGGAAAAACAACGCAACGTGGATTTACTGGGAAGTCAATCACACACGAATAACTTTATCAAATCATTTGAACCGTGCCGAAATACGAGCTCCGGCGTTTCCCGGATACCGCCGCATACAGCTGGATGTTGTAAGATTTTGTTCGTGCTCTAACAACATTTGAAAATCTAAATTGTTGAGTGTGCATATATCAATACACCACGTGAAAAAAATGACTGGACTTCGGACTTAGAAAGGGTAAAGAATATACCTGTAGTTGTTGCAAAGTTGTATGTAATTCTAACTTGTAAGCCATAACTACCCTTACAAAAAAGTCCTATAGGAATCCTATACGAACATTTAACATGTCAACCAGCACTCCGGACATATTCACATATTGTATATTACATGTATACTTTTGAATACCTGAATTGCGTACGGATGGAGACCAAACAGCACACGAACTGTTTACATCGTGTTCACATACGTACGCATACAATCCTTAACCACATTTCCTATACGGTTACAGTTTCAACCTTACCTCGGACATTCTGGTGTTCTGTTCTCTAGGGTAGTGTATATACCAAGGGCCACCATTATAATGGCAATGGCACCCAAAATCCCTCTCTCGTAGCCTCCAATCCAGCCTAGAATTTCTCCGACAACACCTCCCAAATCTGCTAGTACCTCCGTCATGATGTCTTGTGAATGTATCAAATCAAATGAAAAGAATGAATCTCTGAAACAGGTCCTTCGACTGGCTCACACTAATCGTTTCCATGCAGATTTCAACGTGCTGTTTTCGAACTGTGTTAAAACCAGGGTTAGTCAGTGACGACAGTGCCTGATCTTTGTCCTAACATAGCTCCCAATATAGCTGGTAATCTTTACAATCTTTGAACTTTATTAGGTGAATTGACCCAGGATCTATTTTGTTTTTTAGGAGAGGTGCTTATTTGCAAGTCTATACATGTGCATGCATTTAACGGACTGCTCAGTTTGACCTGTTCAAAGTTTGAAGTATAAAAGGTCAAAGGCCAAGGGAGTATTGATTTGTGTCTTTCACTAAACTTGTGCAATAAACTGTTTTGAAACCGCATCGAACCGTGATAAAAGATATCTGCGATTTTCGGGAGTGATGTACGGAAGACGGATAGTGCCACTCAATAAGTGTATATATTTTTTTGTACGTGTGCAAATATTTTTTTGTACAGCGGCCGCCACTTATTATGTGGCGGCCGCATGTGGCGGCCGCCAGATAATAAGTGGCGGCCACTGTACAAAAAAATATTTTCACACGTACAAAAAATATATTCACACTTACTGAGTGGCACTATCCGTCTTCCGTAGTGATGACCTGTCACATAATTAAAAAAAAAAATCCTCAACACTGTTTTTGTAAAATCCCTCTTTCTACGGCTTACCGGAAGTGACAGTAAACATGCATCATGCATACCACCAGAAATCGTCTGGAAGTCAATGGACTGGGACAACTTAAGCTAACGTTGAACTATCCTAGGTATATTACGTCAGGGGAACATTTCTGAACTATACATGTTGGAATTTAATTTTATATACTGTTCATGGCCGTGTTTCAAGGGGGAAACATATTGAAACTCTGCCAAGTGTTTATTTTTTGTTCATTGGACTTAATTTTGTATTAGGCAGCTGATGGTTATACGGTATGACTGCCAAAACTGTGCACCGCGTTGAGTTTTGGGTATCACAATCAACTTATTATGACGATCTGAATAAAATAGAGCCAACATTTTGTACTAAGAACCATGCGAAACTGTGTGATTTTAACTATTCATAAGATGGAATTTGCGTTGGGTGATGTAAATTTAAAATTAGGTTTTTTGCCCTTCAGCGACGTTAAATCACTGTATACTCAGTGTGTCACCTCCTGAGAGAAAGTTGGAATGATTTTATTGGCTGTGTGATTTTACTTTTGAAAAAGACAAAGATCATTCTGCAATGAAAGTGGAGATAAAGATGGTCTACTGATCTTAAGCACTTCGCACATTTTAGACACAGGAGAGTTCTTTATTTACAGTTTTTATGCGTTACAGTTGAGAAAGTTGGTTTATTATTGGATACAATACTTAGTAATGCAACATTTGTAGCGATGGTGTCCAATGTAAAGAGTAGTACGTCCATGAAAGTGAAAGAAAGAAACGCAAGGTAATGAATTAAACAAAACTCAAGTGATTTGTAAACATCAGGCGTCACCTAATGGATGGGCTTGAGTTTCCTCGAGACTGATTCTAACGACAAGAGGGCAAAGTTCTTATTTGATTTTCTCTTGAGAGTCGTCTCAATGTTAAATGTAAAAAAAATACGATTTTTTTTCCTTTCCCTTTTACATTTTGATGTAACTGTTTCTATTGATGTTTTGCATTTTTCATTGGCATTTATATATATCTTTTTCAGTTTTATTCCATTACCCATTTCCAATTTAACACGATTTTTTATCATTTTATCGCAAAATACCTTACTGAATTGTTAGGGAATGACAGTCTAAAGCATTCTGTAACATCGTGGCTCCTGGTGTGCTGACATTTTCAACAAAGTTGATATTTTGGAGAAAACTGGCTCTTTTTTTTAAATGCTTCTATTTGTTCATAATTAGTTATTCCGCAATTTCTGTGTCATTGATTACACAACTGTGAAGGGGTACAAGCCTGCTACACTGATTCTTTGACCTTATAGAATTCCCCAAAGTCTATAAATTGCTCCATTTCATCTTAAGTGGGGTCAGGGAACCAGACTACAAGAACTGGATTGCTTTTCTTGGTTTTTCCAGCATCTACCAGCCCAAAACGTGAAACAAGTCAGTGTAACAATATACGCTATAACATACTAATCCTCCAAATCCATATATTTCTGAAAATTGCAGCTAATGCAAATGTTGTATATTTCCTTTAAGGTATGCGATTGCCAAGTGAACGTATTGTCAACATGAATGTACTGTTTTACCTCTTTTAAATTAGGTCAAGCCATTACTGTTACAATCGATCCATGTATTAATGTAATCATGTAATGAATTAATCAGAATTTCACTGAAGAAAAAAAAACTCATAAGATGACGTCATTGATATTTTCTGCGTCACTTATGCTGTACAGGGTGAGTCAAAAAAAGCAAAACCCAAATGTCGGGACCATTGTTTTAGTGAAGCACTTTCAAAATCTCGGATATGAAAGCCCAATTCATAAGCTTTGTTTTAGTACAAAAGTCATTCAAATCACTTATGTGCTTTTAAAGTTACGGAATTTTAAACACAACCACTGTTTTAAAGTTTTCTCCACGGATCACAAGAAGATAAGTGTTCTTTCAGCAAAACGAAAACAAATCACATAGCGATGTGTGAAAAATTGCGTTCGTTTTGCTAAAAAGAATGCACACCTTTTTTGTGATCCGTGGACAGAACTTTAAAACGGTGGTTGTGTTTAAAATTCCGTAACTATAAAAGTACATAAGTGATTTGAATGATTCTTGTACTAAAAGAAAGCTTATGAATGGGGCTTTCATGTCCTAGATGTACAAAGTGCTACATGCAGAACTACACTTAAACAGCAGTCCCGACATTCTAGTTACGCTTTTTTTACTTACCCTGTACACTGTTGTAAAGTCGATAGGCTTATACAATGCGATCATAATAAGTAAAACATGCCATCAAAATAAATACAAAAAGTTTATATATATAGAATACCGCCCTGCATATTATAGGTCAGGCTACCGCTCAACTCACTGCATCAGACAAATTTTATAGATAAATAATAAATCGATTAAGAAAATCCCATAACATGACGTCATTGTAATCTTCTGCGTCACAATGCCGTACACTGTTGCAATGAATGCATACGTTTATGATTTAGTCTGTAAAAGGCTTATAAGACTACGTGTATTACAATGCTGTCATAATAAGAACATAAAATAATACCAAGTATATTATAGGACTGGCTAGCGCCCAATTCAATGAACCAGACAAATTTGAAATATAAATAATAAATCAATAAACAGAATCAATAACCGAGGGAGTAATTCGTTTGTCTTTGGAAAACAGTTCAATTGATTGATGCGCTCGTGAAATGGCCTTCACACAAGTCACAGGTGTTACCATTGTTTGCTAACCATGAAACGCAGGCCTCGCAATTACCAGAAATCGCTTATATTGACAATAAAACAGAACCACTTAGGTTTTTGTCTGGACAGTAAAATATCGGTGTCGATGATTAAGTGCGGTCTGATCGTGTTAAATTGATGTTGAATTTACCAGCGATTTTGTGCTGGTCCAGGGAGCAAAGCTTACTCTGATTTTTGTGTAACATCGGACAAAATGTCTGTGCCGTCGGGGTTTCGACCAAACCGCCATGCGTCTATCGCGGAGAGCCGTGGATCCGTGGCCAGTGACCGGCCGATTCCCCTGTCCAGGCTAGCCGAAGGGAGCAATCACTCGGTTAATGTTGACACTATGTCCATGGGAACAGACGGAGGAAGGAGGCAGGAAGGCCCGCAGCCTGACTCAAGCCCAGTGAGTATCCCAAACATTTCCTGTAATATCTTTCATAGATTTGAATACCCTACCATGGCTCAGCGTCTTGTTCAACGTTGGTCGGAATTTCCCTTTTTTGGCAAGTTCTTCCTAAAAGCAGTTACATATCTTCTCGACTTAGGCATCATCTGAGAAAGATTTATACCAATCGGGTGTAGTCTAATTGACTCGACCAACAGTTTTCCCCGCACTTTTGTTTAAAACTTAAGTGACCAGGAACCCCGATTTTGCTCCTTGTGAATTCGTTAATAAACACAAGTTTATGAGAAATGTCGGTGTTCGGGCACCGTTTAGTCCTTCCTTTTCAGTTATTTATTAACGGAAAACCGAAGTTTGCCACAGTTGTTTAAAAATCATAGCCTGGAACACTAACCGATCAGATACGAACTTGAATGAATCTCCAATGAAACATGTCTAGAGAGTCACACATCCAAAGATACGGTTATTTCTATATACCCCTTCCGGATTATAACTCATAGTTGGATAGTATAGGGTCCAGTTTGCGGAAGGCATGGGGGCTCATTTGGTGTCAAATACTAAAAAAAAATCTCTTTTCTCGTTCCAAATTCTAAGGGGGCTGAAGGGGCTCGAACGAATGGTTTACCAAGTGGCGTAAATCCGTGTCGGCGAGTGGGCGTAGGGGGATGGGGGATGACCAAAAATCTAAGGTGGCATGATAAGATGTACATCTTATGCAACCGCGCTTACGTCCCTTTATCTCTATGATGCATTTACAGGTTTCGTACTGTTTGTTCTCAGATTTTCTGAACCATGTAATATCGGAAAATACAAGGTCACCTTCAATCTGCATTTCTTTGTTTCTCATCACAAAATGAGAGGGAGGGGTGACCATATCCCCCTGGTTAATTAGTAGGGAGGGGCTAAATCTTTCTCACCCCCACCCCCTGCCCCCCCCCCCCTCGCTACCAATAAAGCCCATGGCTCCTAAAATGAAAAGATGCCTATGCTTTTATAACTCGTTCGTCTTCTGCATAGAAATCTAAAAAGGAGGTTTGCAAGGAGTGTATTGTTCGGTGTGGACTGGAAATCCAATTGAATGAATTGGAATTAAGGTCGAAGCCATTAAGTATACTTGCAGCGTCAATAGAAGAAACATGTCTTACGCAAATTTGTGCCATACGAATCAAACACAACATTTATTTGATGTAAGAATCACTCAATCAAATCAAGTGCTTGTGGTAAAGTCATGTTGTTCACCAGCTCTGCGCGAACCACTTTGTTCTTGTCGGTGACATTTATCGACCTACATGCAACATGCCTCAAATCAAACACAGACAATGCAAGAACCACTTATGGTCGGGGTTAAATTACTAGAATGAATACAAGGACACGTCTCAATTTCGGTCCAAGCAAACATGTAAACAGAATTCGCACGATGCCCTACTAAAAAAATTTCCCTGTAATTTTTTGGTTGCCCCATTTTCTTTTCGTCTGGCATTCATGAGAAGCGATCTGTTGAAAAAGCCGGTACATATAGCTCCCTCCACATACACATAAAAGAAAACGCTACGAGGAGTTGCTGGCAATGTCTTGATAATAATGTATTTTAATTTTCACATTGACATGCATTCTGGATTTCACAAGCACGTACCAATTTAATTACTATTGCGCAATAAAGCACTTTGTCCATATTCATGGGAACAGCAATCCCATTCTGCCTGATAACTATAACATCTTACTAATAGAGGGTCCACGGTTTGACATTGTTATGGTCCCTGTTACCTTGGTACTTCTGTAATTTATCACTAAAGTAAGTATTAAGAATTACTTTAAACGATGTTTTAAGTATTGAGAAGGTTTTTTTTTTATTCATTATCACTCTTGGAGGATGACTGCATTAGCGAGTGCATCGGAACTATGAAACCATACATGTCAGAGACAGGGACAGGGACAGGACAAAGGGACCCCAAAATCCATAAACATGATCATGGCAAGCGAGGAACCCACAATGCCTTGCGACGTCTGCGTTTCCTAGTGGGTCTACCCAATGTTTCCCAATACTTGTGTTCCCCAATACCTATCCTAAGTGTTAGGGTTAGGGTTAGGGTTGTGGTTCGTGTTAGATGGTTAGGGGTAGTCTTAGGGTTGGGAACATAGGTATTGGGGAAAATAGGTATGCACCCAAAGGATAGATAGGTGCGAGCGAGAAACGAATCCTGACTAGGCCTACTTTTCAAACCTTGACATAAAGCCTTTGTTTAGAAATCATGCACCAGCGGCATCTGTTCATTGGTTGGGATTCCCCTAACCGCGATGTTAAAATTGTGGGTTTTTAAAGTTTTTTTATAGGATCATTAATTTGCTGTGTATTTTGTTTTCGTTTGAAGCAACAAAATACCTGTTTTAGCAGAGTAGCATATACTGCACATTCATTTGGGTCTCGTAACTACATCTCAATGCAAAGTGAACCCACATGCACACTTTTTTTAACCGCCTTCAATGACTTTTATCTTTGGAACAAAATCATTTCGTGTGGAATATTTTCATATAATCTTATCGTCCCATTGAGCTCGGTTCTTCTCGCTTAAGCGGTAGGTAATATCCAATTTTCCCAGTACAGACCTTTAAACCACTCCTGAAATCCACCTTTTTAATTACACACTGGACTGTGAATAAGAGAGAAATAAAGGGTTCACAATAAGGTATTAATCAATTTCCACACCATTTGATTCCCACATTGCAAAAATGACACTTTCTCCGATTGCGCTCAAGGCTGTGGTAGCAACACAAATGACCCGCACACCGAAAATAGACCGATGGCAGGTTTCCACGACGCCATCTGCGGTGGTCAACCGCCAACCGGCCCCACCCTCATGGATACCGCCCCAGCTGGACCCCGTCTCCAAGGATGTGTTCGAGGAGATTGTTTGCACACACAACAGCAACGGCAAGCTCAAGTTCGCGGTCACCAGGGAGATTGAGAGGGGCTCCAAGGAGTTGGAACGTGACCAGAGCTGGCTACCGGAGACGGTGTCGTACGGAGAATTTCTCACAGGTAAACAGTCAGTACACCATTAGAGCAAGTTCGAGCTTTAAAAGGAGTGTACAACATTTGCTTTTGCTGCGATTTTCTGAAATAAATGGATTTTATAGCAAATATTGTTACACTGACTTGTCTCACGTTTTGGGTTCGTAGATGCTGGAAAAACCAAGAAAACCAATCATATTCATGTAGTCTGGTTCCCTGACCCCACTCAAGATGAAACGGAGCAATTTATAAACCTTAGGGAACTGTAAGATCAGAGAATCATTCTAGCAGGCTTGTAGTCTTCACAGGTGTGTAATCAATTGCAAAGAAAATGCCGACGAACTAAATATTAACATTTAAGAGCATTTTTTTGTAAAAAAAAAGCCAGTTTTCTCCAACGCTGGTCGGCCAATACAGTTTTTCTTGAAACTGTCAGCACACCAGGAGCCACAACTTTACAGGATGCTTTAGACTGTCATTCCCTAACAATTCAGTAAGATATTTCGGGATAATTTGATCATTTCGAGGTTTGGGGTTTTTTTTTATGTCTGCAAATGTTGTATTTTCCCTTGAACTATAGTGATTCAAAGTTTGACCGTCTAAAATTGACACTTTGGAACTGAACCCCACGCAAAGTAATTGTGCGTTTTTTACGACAACCGGCGAGACACGAGTGGCGAAAACGTGGGTGATAATGTGCAGGTTGTACGGTTGCCCGATGACGACACTTCTGATGACAAAACACGTACATACGAAGTTATGTACATAAATACTACTATAATATGACCATAGTAAGTTTGCGCAGTCTTTCACTTCGCATGGTCATTGGTAAAAAGGAACTGACTAATGATGGAACCATATTCTCGTATTCGAAATTGCTCCTTGCACACTTTCAAAAGAGCTTGTCAATTTGTCGAGTGAATGAAAACCTGTATTTTAAACTAAGCAGCTTGTTTCGGGGCGAATTTCTCGGACCTGGCTCCATGCTACATTGTAGTTTTCGGGAAATACAAACTTCTTCTAATCAGCAAAACGGGTTTCAACATTGATAATCTGTAAAATATCGTTTAGAGACACAAATAAGCTAACTTTTGTTTTTAAAGGTACAGTCCAATATTTGCAGCTATCTAAAAAGTAACTGACGTAATTATTATGGAAAAACATACTTGGTTTAAAGATAGTAATGGGACTAAACTCCTTGTGAATTCCTTCTGGCATGCTGTCATTTTTAAGAAATCAATGAAAGAAGGCCACTGCTTTGTTGAACAAAAATCACAAATTACAAATGATGGACGCAACTCTCTAAATTCCAAAGAGTGAAAATTCACTCCATTCGAGTGAAGATTCACGCCCATAGTCGGAAACTAGGGACTAGACGTTTCAGAGTGAAATTTCTTCAACCGTAAAGATCGAGTTTTCACTCGAGCTTCGACTGAAGTGGTTCTTTTTTTCAGACTATTTCAATCGAAAATGAGAGTAGTTTTCACTCTAAAACGTCTAGTCCCTTATTTCACTCTTTTGAATTTAGAAAGAACATTTAAAGCAAGTTCATATCAATGAGTCCGTTAGTTATTTGCCTGCTTTAATATTACTTTATCCTTTCATTTCTTGGGGGAAAAAAAAAAAACCACCCCTCTCCCCCCCCCCAAAAAAAAATTCCCCGCTAAATGACTCCTACTTAGTTAAGATGTCTCCGAGTTTAGTCTGACACTTGACACTGACACTTTAGTTTGATACATTTTGTTATTTTTTAAAATATTTTTCTACATTGTTTGTGTCATGCTATTTTCTGTAATGTAGACCTGCTCTACCCTGACGAATCCTTCCTGCTCCACGGCCAGTCGTTACCGTTCACCAATGTTAACTTCCACGTGTGCGAGGAGTGGGTACCGGAGCCCCACCGCTGGGGCACCCATAAGGCCCTCAGACCCCCAGCAAAGGCACCCATGCTAACCGGAAGGGCGTTTCTGACCAATCACCGACTTATTCTCTTCTCGGCTGAGAAGCAAAGAGGTGAGCAATGGTGTACAAAATGCAAGGACATTTATCCCTTGCGCTTTACTGACATGTACAGGGTGAGTAAAAAAACAACCCGAAACCCAAATATCGGGACTATTGTTTTAGTAGAGTTCTGCCTGTAGCACTTTCAAAAACTAGGATATAAACGCCCAATTCATAAGCTTTTTTCTAGTATGAGAATCATTCAAATCACTCACGTACTTTTTAAAGTACGGAATTTTAAACACGACCACCGTTTTAAAGTTCTGTCCACGGATCACAAAAAAGGCGTACGTTCTTTCAGCAAAACGAAAACCATTCACACGTAACCTTTGTGATTTGTTTTGGTTTGGCTGAAAGAACACTTCCCTTTTTGTGATCAGTGGAAAGAAATTTACAACGGTGGTTGCGTTTAAATTTCCGTAATTTAAAAAGTACATGAGTGATTTGAATGATTCTTGTACTGAAAGAAAGCTTATGAATGGGACTCTCATATCTGATATTTTGAAAGTGCTACATGCACAAGGGCGGATCCAGAACACAATTTTGGGGGGCCCAAAAAAAATTTGGTCCTCCAAAACAGTGGGTCAAAAAAATTACGGCGTGGGGTTCGGGGCCCGCTTAAGGGCCCCGAAAAATTTTTGGATTCTAGATGCTCTGTGGTGCGATTTGAGGCAATTTCTGACCACTTTAACCTATGTTTTTTTGAGGAAAAGATGGTGGTGTACTCATTGCCTGCCTTTTTTGCGATGTCACATAAAAAAAAAAAAAATTGGTTTCGTTTTGGGGGGGGGGGGCATGGCCCCCTTTGGGCCCCCCCCCCCCTGGATCCGCCCTTGTACATGCAGAACTTCACTAAAACAATGGGTCTCGACATGTGGGTTTCGTGTTTTTGGACTCTTATATTTTGAAAGTGCTACATGCAGAACTTCACTAAAACACTGTGTCCCGACATATGGATTTTGTGTTTTTTTTACTCACCTTGTATGTAATTAAATTAATACTTAGGCCTACACGCTAGTAAAAGCGCATGTGGTAGCCCACCAGAATCTCCATCTTATTATTATTATTTTTTTGGGTGGGGAGGAATATTGCATTTAGGTTTCCTTGATTTTGTCAATCATTTTATATTTATCTAATCTTCTATTGGGTTTTGCCATTTGCCGGCGTACTTTATCGTCGGCGAAGGGCAGGACAACAAAAAAATCATATCTCTCCGACGCAAATTCCGTCTTAAAAAAGTACCTTATTACATTTAAAATATACGTTTGATGCAAGATTCCGGACAGCATCCCAATGAGCATCCCCAAAATTAAACACGTGTGCTCTAGATGTACAGCGTGCTATTCTGAAAATAAAAATGATGATACGTGACTTCCAGGCACTGTCGCGTATAATTGGTTTGAATGAGCGCACCATTTTACATATTCTTCCATTGCATGATGCGCACAAATTATGTGTATTAGATATAAGCGCGTGATTCAGCCCGTGGACCATAGATATAGAATTTAAAAAACTAGATCGGTAGCGCATCCACACGCGCCAATTTACTTCGTCCCCAGTGCTTACTTTATTCCAAACTCGTTTCCAATAGTAAGCCCTGGATAGGAAAGTTCTTCCTGTATCCTGATTCGATACCGCAATCAGGCCCGGATTAAGTGTTTCGTAGGCCCTAGGCACCAGTGTTCCAAAGAATGGAGAAGGAAGGGGAAAGGAAGAGGGAATAAGAACAAAGTGGAGAATGTAAATAATAAACACCGCTGTTCAAAACTCCATCCACGAAGCTAAAATCCGGTTCTGAAACCCATGTCAAAAGATTGTACATTCTGTCATGTCGGCACAAGCTGCCGCGCGAAGTCGCTTCATATACGGGGGCTGACAGCTACAGCTGTGCATATAAAAAATATAAAAATATAAAAATGTCCACTACAGGATTTAAAGACCCCCCCCCCCCTGCAGTCTGGGAACAGGGAACAGGCCTGAACAAGGTATGCGCAAAGGTACTGAGCATGTACATGCAGTTTTCCGACAATGAAATAAAAATATTATAGGTGCATTGAATTGGGTATTTTCGAGCATTTTAAAAATTACTTTCGAACGATTAGAGTACAAGTTCTCAATCATTCTTGCAATTGTCATCCGATAGAAAAGAAATAAAATAAAACAAAAAGTTATGTGGCGATGGCCAAGTCTTCAGGAGTCGGACTTATGACCCTAACTCAATGAGCCCCTTACCGACTTCCATATAGAACTCTTCCGGGACTCGGTACCCGGCCCACCACACCTCCTTCCCTGTCCATCCATGTAACTCGAAAGTCAGGCACCATAAAGGGAGGAAACGAGGTGGCACCCTAAGCCTTGCTGCCGAGTCAGCAAAAGAACCCCGTACCTATACGCAGACGCCAACCTGGACTTCGCAGACAGTCCCAACTTGTGAGTCAGCTTACCGACCGACCGAGCTAACTGCTGTTGGTAAATGACGACGGGAAATTAATACTCTTAAATGACAGAATTAACCGCGGGCATCGAAAACCAAAAGTGACACCAAGCGGGTTCGAACCCCTAACCCTGAGTTCGCTGTCAGACAGCTTAACAACTAGGCTGTTTCAGTAGGTGCTTTTCTCTATGCGTTTTAAAAGATAATCCTTCTTTCCGCAATGGGAGAGTTACCTTTTGTTTCATAGCTGCACCAAAGATGCATCAGCATCGTGCTATACACATGAATGCTGTTACGTAACTCTTTTCTACAATCATTCTTATGTACCGAGCAGTTGACTATTCAGAGTCACTACGAGCAATTAACCTTACCAAGCTCGTCCTTTTTCTGTCTCATCAATTATTGTTTCGCGTCGCACGTCTTTCGGCCGGCACTGACATGTCACTATGATTGAGAGAAATTCTAGCAAGTTTCCCCTACTTCATTACATTTATATCAAATTACTGACCTGTTTATCAATTATGTATACTCGCGCTTACATTTTTAAAAGCTTTTGTACTTTGTTTATCCACTTTCCAGTGCTATTGAATACATTTTAGTTGCTGGGACGTTCGGAAAATACCTCAAAATCCTCATTTTTTTTTCTCATCACAAAAAAAGCTGGGGATGATTCAATACCCCATCCCCCGGTCAAAAAGTGTGGGGGTATATACCCCCACCTCACACCCACCCCGGGAATTACGCCCCTGATGACGGCGCATGGTCTTTTTTTGTGTCCGGGTTGCCATACGCCTTGACTCAAGTCTACGGTCATGAAAAGGCCTTTGAGATGGAACAAAGCAAATCGATGAACCTTTGGCGACTGAACGATCTAAATTTGGGTCGTATTGTGTACTTACCAAGCAAGTACAATTTTTTACTAACACCTGCACATGTAATACGCCAATCGGCGGCGGCGGAACGCTTTTAAAACTGGGGGCATCACCAAAAAAGAGGCATTTGCTCAGAAAAAAGGCAACTTTCGTCGGTGTGAAAGAGGAGAAAATTGTGAAACTATTTTCGTTCACATTGCAAGGAATACATGTTACCCAGAGCAAAATTTACTTCCAACATTGATATACACTTTTAAAAGTGTTTTAAAAGCGTTAGCAGCACTTTTATTTCTTTACAGGCCAGTTTTCCATTTTGAGAGGGGCACAATTTTTTATTGCGAGAGGGGTCATTCGTGTTTTCGAGGGATAGTTTTCCATCTCGAGAGGGTTCACAATCTTGTTTTATGCGCGAGGGGTATTTTGTGTTTTTGAGGGGCACTTTAGCATTACAAGAGAGGAGATCATTTTTAAACGCGATCATAATGCTTTCATGTGCGTTTAAGGGCAGTTTTATTTTTATCTCGAGGGGGCTATTTTGTGACCTAATGTGGCAAAATGAGGAATGTCTCCTTAAACCATGTTATGAGTAATCAACGCCTGAAGTTGGATACACTAGGAAAATCATGTAATAAGAACCGGAAATGTCCCTGTCTATTCTGCATTTTCATTGGTCAATTCACAAAGGGTCATGCATTATGCATGTCTACCAAATCGGTAGACAAATGTAAAGAAAAACATAAGCGTTCTCCACGAGATGGTAAAGGCCCTCGCGGCTTCGCCGCTCGTGCTAGTCTTTTTACGTGTCAGCATCCGGGGAGCGTCACGTGTCCCCCCCGTTCCCCACCGATCGACGCCCATGGTTGGCACCGTGCTTCAGAACGACAGACTTTACACGTACATTTTATACGTAGGGCCAATGCATACATGCTGTACAGCGTCAGTTAGTGAAATCGAAAATTCGGAGAGAGACCTTAAACCTTTTTTGAAAACTTTTCTCTGCGCGTGTGGGTGTGTGTGGGTCATAGATATCTTACTATAATTCCGGAATCTCTGTCTGTCTGTCTGTCCGTCGATTATCTCCAGAACCGGGCACCGTATGAAGTTGAAAATCGGCGGGGGTATTTCTCGGGGCCACAGAATTTGCAGTGCCAAGTTTGAAGTGGTTTGGACTGCAAAATAGCAGTATTTTCGGAGGCAAACGTGGCAGCTTAGAACATAACACCACGCACTGCCATTCTTTTCAATTGTTTACGTCATGTTTAAGCTAAAGCGTGCGTGCTCAATATGACGCAAACAATGCAAAAAGGACGGGCACGCGCACGTGCATTGTAGGGCGATACATTGTCCAGTATTATAATGGGTGATCGTGAATAGCACTGCATACCATGTTTCCGTATGTACACGGGCACATTATTTTTGCAGTCGACTGAGCGGCCATTGTAGGTGGTCGAACTTCAAGCTTGGCGCAAACTTTGACGTAAGTGTGCGTTCAACCTGTGAAAACAACACCATTGAATAGCGTGCGTTGTTTGCACGAGCAGTTCTCAAAAACTCTGCAAGTATGCAACCTACACCAGCGGCAAAGCAATTTGCGTTTCCCGAACATGCACATTTTAGACGGGCACTGCACTAGTAGAATTAAAAGACTAGATCGGCAGCGCGTGCATACGCGCGGCCTTGCATGGAGGGTCACGCGCTGGAGGAAAGACACAAATTGCGCTAGACGTGACGAACGCAACGCCGTTTACACGCACATTGCGAGTTTATTTTTTGTTACTTGAGACCTTCACTGCTAATAATTATACACAAGAGAATAAATAAGATAACATCGTTCCCATAATGTTGAAACCCCAGTCTACTCTTGTATATTTCAATCAGTATCTCTTGAACATGGATGCTTATGATTATGACTAGGGCCTTCTTAGCAAAATTGGTTGTCTTAAAACAGGTTTACTTTGCAGAAAATAAACTGATTATATGAAAAGCGGAACGCCAACGTGTTAATACTCGGTGCGCATTTCTAGCTTCGTGCGCGTTGAGCTAGGTCACGTGCTGGAGGAAAGATACATTTAGCTCCATTACTCTACGTAAATTTGTTGCGCGTCCACGAGAGACAACAAAAATGGCGGAGATTTATCGCACTGTGAATGGGCGCGTGTGGACGCGCTGCCGATCAAGTCTTTTTATTCTATATCTATGGTGTGGGTAGGCCTATATGTGTTTTATGGTACAGTGCGGTATTTTTGTCGCCCCCCCCCCCCCCAAGTTTTCGTAGGCCCCCAAATTTTTCGTATGCCCTAGGCACAGTGCCTACTGTGCCTATTGGGTAATCCGGGCCTGACCGCAATTATTGGTTAGCAATGGATTTATGTCTTGTAGTTCGTGTTGTTATTTCCAACGTGCATTACGTTTTTTCACGATCATTGCAATTATAACGTCCACGCTTTCTCAAAAATACTCTTTCCTTTCCAATTTGTTCATATTAATATGAAATGAGATATTGCATATTGGCGGGATAAGATTGTAACATTTTAACTTCGAAAACAATCGTGTTTTTGTAACTCACGGCGCGACGAATTGATTGTGTTTTACCCAAGACACTGCATACAAAAACAAACGCTAATGTGACGTACAGGCGGGTACCAGACTATTCCTCATTTGCATACATGTGCAAAAATGTTGCACATGCAAATGACCCAATACCAGGGTGAGAGAGCAGGTAGTGGTGGGCGCGTAGTGCTCGACACCCTGGGGACGAGGTTGGAGCTAAATGTTATTGTCCTCCTGCACGTGACCTAGCTGAACGCTCGTGGAGCTAGAAATGCGCACCATGTATTTACGCGCTGCGCTCACGTTCGCTCGCTGTTTGATTGAAATAAACAAGAGTTGACTGGGGTTTCAACATAATGAGAACAGTTTTATCTTATTTTATTCTCTTATAATTATTAGCATTGAAGGTCTCAAGTAGCAGAAATAAACACGCATTGTGCGCACAAATGGCGTTGCATTCGTCACGTCTAGCGCGCAATTTGTATTTGTCCTCCGGCAGCAAGTGATCCTCGATGCAAGGCCGCGCGTATGCACGTGCTGCCGATCTAGTCTTTTTATTCTATATTTTTGCCGTGAACCAACACGTGCGCGTACTCCATTCGTTTACACTACACTTTCTGGTTCTAAATGACGTGTAAAGCTGATGCACCACCCTTTGAGATGAAATTGCTTTAAACCAGTGTTCAAGTCCGTAACTTTCACACAAACTGACACATTATTTTCGGATTTTATTTTTGACAACTTCCATATAAAAGCGTTGGTTTGCGTCCATCACTCATAAAGGTTTTGCATTGTATACACGGCGACTGCCGATATTTCATGATCTCGCTCGCTCATGCGGTACCACATTTAATGTGCATGTTTCATTGGCGTACATTCGGTGGCGTAAATCCATGCCGGTGAGTAGGGGGGGGGGGGTACCAAACTCGCCCGGTCGAGGAAATTCTGAAGGGGGGGGGGAAGGTAATTCAATATTTGGTTTTGCTCTTCACTGACGTATATTTTTAATTAAAACAATAGGTCGGTTTACAAAATTCGTCGGTGAAGGGCAGGCCCTATATTGACCCCTGAATGCTTGGTCAACACCATGGGTTTGTGGTTTCTCTATTTATATCAAATCCTGCATTAAAAACAACCCAGACAATGTCTTATTTAGGCTTATGTATCTATATGTATTTAAATAGAGTGTGTATCAAAGCAGAGGCTTATTTAGATATGTTGAATCGCAGACTTCAAATTATTCCAAATATTCGATTCAATTAAATATTTAGCTTCAAACCGGAAAACTGATCATGTACTATAATGAATTTTTATTTTAATTCGCCAGCTCCTGCTACCTGTGCTTTCGCATAATTACCCATTTTTTAATCAACAGTTGATATCTTAAATGAAACGAATCCAGAACATCTGTAGTGCATCTGTAAAGTTTCAATTGAACCTGTTAAAATGTTTCGTTGTCATAGTTATTTAAAATCGGCACTCTCACGCGCCCTCCGATGTACGTTTTACGTGCTCCATGTAATAGAAACGTGCCTATACCTGTTGTGGTATTTGAAAATTTTGGACGAAGTTATGCCCTATTTTTATAAATTTGGTGTCAAAATAACTTCAAGACATCAGAACAGCTGCCAGAGAATCCTGGAAGAATTTGATATGTGCAAAACGTCAATGGGGGGGGGGGGTGCGGCCCCGCCCCCTCCAAGCTGTTCGCGCCGCTCTTATGTTAATTAGTCTGACCAAAAAGAACTCTTAAGCTTTATTGTCATGTTCCCACATGTGCGAAGGCATCAATCAAAATGGTTTCATTTTCCCAATTTAAATTTTGTAGTACATTTGCACAGTTTCAATTCGATCCGTTAGTCGGCACTCTCATGCACGCTTCCATGTGCATGTACTTTTCAATGGGAAAACGTTAACATAACTGTGTTGAAAAATGGACAGTTTGTGACGAAGTTATGGCCCTTTTTCATAAAGTTTGTTTCAAAATAACTGCAAGAAATCAGAACAACTGTCAAAGATACTTGGCAGGATTAAAAAAAAAAGCCTTGCGACGATAGGAGCCAAAATGTACATGGTGGGGGGTTGTGGTCCCGCCCCTCAGCGCTTTTCCCGCCGCTTAATTAGTCTGACCTAAAATCACTCTTAACTTATATTTTCTTTTTCCATCAGTGCTAAAGAATCAATACAAACTGTTTCCTTTTCTCATCTACCGTTGCGTTGCAACGGTATCAGCGATAAGGAAATAGAGGGGGTGACGGCCACGCCCACCCTCTGCGCTTTTCGGGCCGTTCTTAAGTTAATTAGTCTGATCTAAAATCATGTAATTCTTAATAATCTACCTGTTCCAAGCTATCAAATGATACTGGTTTCGTTCTTGTTCTCAAATTTTGATTAAATGTAAAATTGGTCCCATGAGGCATGCTGCCAGTGGGCCTTAGTCTGATCTAGAGAAACTTAAAGATGGGCTTCTGTGATCAGGGTCGATGATACTATGCTTTAAGACAATCAGGGGATTTGTTCCCAAAATTTTGATTGAACAGTATCCAGCTCTCCGTCTAATACAGCCAAGCGGCTGCGAGAATTGGACATTCCCGTGTGATTTAGCTACGGCAGCATCATACGAACGACGACGACCGTAAAAGTTAGCAATGATTTTCAAATTTACGATTTTCCAATTTTCGATATTCAGCGACATCTTTGAAGAAGCTAACAACGCGGACGTCGGGTTCTGATTCGTCCAAGCCTGCCGGGTACCAGTTGAGAACGACCAACCAGGACACCGTGCACTTCCAGACGGTTCCACTAACGCATTTCCGAAACGTAGAGCTCCTAGCTACCGTGGGAACCAGCTCCGTCGCCAACATCTTAGGTCAAAGGTTATTCTGCTGTCTCCCGTTAACATGCTGTAGGGTAAGAATCCATATAAGGGGGCTTTTTGTCTTAGGGACAATTATCGCATGGCGTTGCAATTATTTTGGGTCGAAAATTCATAATGGATAATAATAAAGAGCTTTGCAAAATAAAAGATAACACAAAAGTTAGTTCAGCAAAAAAGGAGCAAAAGTGAACTACTGAGAGAAAAATAATAAGCAACTAGAGGGAAGGCGTTTGTACGTAAGCAATAAATAAAACTATTAAAACATCATACGTGACATTTGGCTTTTTAAATCCGACTTGTCTGAAGAAAACTTTAACACGTCCGCGGTGTTTGTAAGATTCTCTTAGTTTAATAAATATGATTGGAAAAAAAATAGCCATAACTATTGTACTTTCTCCCACGCACATACAAAACACTATTAAGAAATGTGGGGTCTTTGAGGAGGACATTGCTTTGATTGGATTCATCTCGTACGTGTTTGCAGAGAAAAATAGAACGACCTTAATTTCTCAGAAGGATAATTTGATAATTTTGTCACAAAACAACTTTTGCCAAAAGGGAGGCACATCCTTTGAAAGAAATGACGAGAACGGCACAGCCTTGGGGCTATTATTTGCGTAACGTAGACGAGAAACATTGATATAGTTATCAAGATGTATTCTTAAGTATTCCTAGCTAAGAGGCTACCCCCAAAGCTGCCGAAGAATGAGATTACTTTGTTAAAAAAAGTCCTTAACGTTTCCTGTTTTGCTCACGGCGTTTTTCGTTTACGTAAATTTCACACTATTACGAAAATGTTAGGTAAAGAAACAAACAAAGATAATACTCTACTGCTTGTTTTCCTTTTTTTCTTTTATAAAGAATTATATTGTTGTAAAAGCTCTCCCGGTTTTAAGTGTGTCGTACTTGGACGAGATATAAAAGGTAAAGGATTAACGATTTTGGCTTCGGGAGAATTTAAAACCCTTGCCTTTTGCGGCTCTGGCTAGATACTGTTCCATGTTTAACTTCATGATTATCAAATCATGTTATAAAATGCTATCAACGGTTGGAAAATGTCCATTTTGTTGTCACGTGAAAAGCTAAGTTTATTCAATGATTCATGAGTCAGGGATGGGTTGAACTGGACACGTAGCCTAGCTTTGGAACTTCAGCAAAGAGTCAGTTGGGGTGACTTCTCACTGTTGGTAAGAGGACATGAACATACAAAGATAAAGTTGCGCTTCATGGAAAATAATTTCTATTATCCCAGCAAGACAATGTCGGTTATTTATTTTAAAATGAGACATCGAGCGAAAATAAATCTGCCCACTTAATGGAATATTACTTGTGTGAATTTCGAATTACTTGCGATCAAACAAGTTCAGGCGGATCTCTGTGTGCTTTAGAGCCGTTTCAGAGGGTTGAACTCGCCAAAAATAAAATTACGAAGTTGTTATTTTTTTTCTTTGAAATCAAACATAGAAATGGAAAATATGTTAGGAAAAAATTGCAATGTTCAATCTGGAAACTAGCTGGCTCTTTTGCTGCGCTTATGGTCTCCACCTCATGAAAATTTATAAAGATATCATACGTGCAGCAGAAGCATCACCAGTAACAATTATTGTATCAGCTTATGCTTGAATTATTTCCCTTCACCTCATTGTCAATACATTGCTTGGGCTGTTGTGTCTTCCCTTTTCTAGGTCTTAGCACCACTTTCGAGCACGAAGTTCGGAAAATGAACAATGTGAAATTCTTTTCCAATACACCATTCTGTTTATGGAAATCCCATGAGGATGAACGAGTTCCAATTGCGTTTCCTTTTATCCCTCTTCTTTGGGGGCAAATAAAAATTGAGTAACACGAGAAAAAATGGAGGGAGAAGGGGGGGGGGTTAGGAGCGTGAGTCTTAATGCCGTGTCAAATATTTGTGGCACATGTTCGGATTAAATCTGATCTGTAAATTTGTTTTTGCTCTGTGATTTTCCCCCAAGGTATGCTATGAAGATGACATGTGCTCCAAGTACTGGTACCCACGTGACCAACTGACCTTTGGCACCAATACCCGGATGTTGTCCATGGGCGTGGTCATGCCGCCGTGGGGGAACCGCAGCCTGCTTGAGGTGCACGTGTGTGCAGACGTCCCCCTGTCTCTGATGAGGGGGTTTATGGTGGAGCTTCAGCGGTACTCGCCAGGGTTGAGATCGACTGCCCAAAAGCCGCAGGAGTATGGCACTTAAGACTCGCATTCACAGACTTTGCTTTAACAGGCAATTGGGACCGGATCCAACAAGACGACATTTTCTTTTTTAGTCGTTATTTGTTTTTGCGTCGGGGTGATGTAAATCAATATTTTGGTTTTGCCCTTCACCGACGTATAGACACTGTACATACTTAGTCTAAGTATACAGTGTCTATACGTCGATGTAGGCCAAAACCCAATCAAAACCTGTTCATATTTACGGAAGATCAGTAAAAACCATACGATTCATTCATTCAGCGTATATAATGTGATAATTATTTGGGGAAATCGTTGACGACTTGTACTGATTTATATTTTACAGGATTTCTGTAAGAGGGTTTGAACTCAATATTGCTCTGGCGACTTCAAGCACATTTTGTTAGGTGGGACACGTTTTTCGTACAGCACTGCTTTGTGTGTGTGTTTATTAAATTCTTTGTCAAATTATGTGGGGTTTTTTTAAATATAAATATACCTTGATTCTTTTAGCGAATGTTCAAAAGGAATATTAGTGACCTGCTCCGTGATGGTATCTCTTTAGCTTGTACGCGTACACGAAATGTAGGTGTAAATATCTTTCATTTAAACTCCCTCTGGCTATCAAATCATCTCCATCCATCACAACATTTAAGACAAACATAAAATCTCACCTGTACAAACAAGCTTTACTCTCACAATACACAATCCTAACTTGACTTTCTCCTCGAGCGCCATGGCGGATACCGGCGCTTTACAAATGTTCTTTTATTATTATGTTCTTTTATGTTTATCCCCGGGTTTTTTTTACCTCATTTTTCTACCCTCATTTTTACCCTCGGGACATGGGCGTCGCGAGGGGGGGGGGGCATACCTGGAAAAATAAAAAACAGAAAAAAGGGGGGGGGGGGAAGAGGTGCGAAGCCATATTGCTGTTAATTTGATGGGAGGGGGTAGGGCAAATGCTCCGCTGCTCACGCTCGAAAAAATGATAAATTGAGAATATAATGAAAAAGTTATGGAATTTTGGGGGCAAATTTGCTTTGCCCCCCCCCCGGGAAAAATCCTGGCGACGCCCATGCCCCGGGATTTATTAAAGAGTAATATTACCGATAATGGTACCGTAGGGAGACATTCCCATGGACTTGGGCACAGACAAACAAAATCCAATAACACCATTTGTAAATTACCACCACCCCCTTCCCCCTCCCCAAATGTTTTTAACTGTAATATTCTCGAGCTACTAAAATTAGGTAGTTAAAAGCTTAGGGAGACATTAAAATGTCTGCATACTCTTAAATAATTTAATAGAAAGTGTCTTCCTGTGGTACATAGTTGTTAATATTCCTTTACTTTTTAGTAGTTTAAGTTGTTTATTCAGTGTTTTTAAAGAGAGTGATGGGTACTTTCATACCTTTGTAAATTATTTTTGATACATTGTTTTGCATTGACTGGTGTTAAAAGAAATTTGGATCCCTATGAAATCGGTTTTTTTTATACGGACTCAATACGGACTTTTCCTGTTCCAAATTGTGTCCACTGAGGCATGCGCAATACACCCGAAGAGTCCGTTTTTCATGGAGTCAACATGTCACACAATACCGATTTCTGAGAAATGAGATCAGTTTTCGCACGGTCCCAATAGGCTGGTAATGCATCCGAAATTACATGTTAACATTCTTTTGTAATGATTTTCTATGTGGTCCATTGTGTTTGTTACCATTTTTTGAATCATTTAAATGTCATATCATTTTGATGTATAGTTTCAATTATCTTTTTTTTTGTGGAGTAGGCCTAAGCCTATCTGAAGATTGACCTTTTACTAGCAGGGTCTCCCCATGTCGTCATAGAATTTAAAAAAAAAGATTCAAGTTAAATGTCGATAAACGCAATGTTTTGGAGCCCGATGTATTGTTTCCCTTTCATAGATTTTGATATTTTTGTTGACAGCATTTTCCTAAAATTTGCATCCTTCCACTTTAAAAATAATGTTTTTTAATCATAACAAATAAAACATATATCATGCATTTACATCATTGCCAAAGGCAATGCGATTTAATATATGCGTGTGGACTATACTAACCGATGTTTGCATGCCAAATGCATTAATTATGCCTCATTACAGAAAACAAACATTTTTTATTAAAAGTTGCAACTCATAATTCCAAGGAAAAATAACTCAAATTACTAAATAATTAATAAGTAACTCAAATTAAGGGTCAGCGAAACATGGTGTCAAAAACTGGAGTGGAATTGGGACATTGGAGTAGGCCTAAGCCTCATTACAGAAAGCAAATATTTTATGAAAAGTTGCAACAATGAATAAAATAACTCAAGTTAACAAGGCAACAATTTAAAAGGGTCAGCGAATATGTTGTCAAAACCTGCATTGGAATTGGGACATTTTCCCGTAGTTTTTCTTTTGTTCCAGATACATCGGTTGCCCTTCACCATGTTGTCAAAATGTCAATTGAGGCTTTGCATGTCAATTATCTATGAATTCTAGACCCTTGGATATTACACCCCTGGTCTGTTTTAACTTCTTGGGAGAAACAGTTATATTTTTAAGCTCTATTGTTAATTGACAAATTATTACTTCAATTTCCACGATGAAGAAAATGTAAAACTGGGTGAGTTTCGTAGAAACAATGCAGCAGTAGGCACAAGCTAAGCTTTCTTTGAATTAGTTGTTTTTTCATTTGCAACAGAAAGAGTGCACAGCCCATTCTCCACTTTGAAAACTGTAATATACGTAAAATATTTTGTAAAAGTGTTTGTTGTTCTTATTGATGTTCAATCCTAAAAGATATCTCATAAAGGCCTGTTAATACTCAAAGCTAGCTCGATCTACTTGTGACTCAATTTGTTTTGGGCCGTTGATGGAATAAAGTAAAAAATAACAGCCCCCAATGATGCGGGATTTGCTGAAGTCATTTGAATTTTTCAAATATCTTTATCTATTTTCTTTTACTAGCGGGGTGCCGCGCGAAGCTAGGTGGAGTCATGTACTAATGTGTTACTTTGACCTCAATTTGCATGTTGACCCCAAGTGGGCGTGTTAAATCTTGGTGAAGCAATTTTGCCACATTTTTCATCATCAGCATTATGCTTTGCCAAAAATGCAAAACAAAGCAAAGAAATCATTTGTTTCACGTGCCAACCGTGATTTCAGAGGACAGTGAAATCGAAGCATAGGACTTATATACACAGACATCAGACAGACAGACAGACAGACATCGGACGGACAGTGTACGATCTTTACATACAGGATAATTAAACTGTAGGTATGAGGAAAGCAAGCAATTGCTCACGCTATAAGTCAGCTCTGGAAGCATATGCGAAGACCTACTTACTTTTTGAATATGTTAAACTTACTATGTCCTTGCGATGTGCATAAAAACAGGCTGAATCGTAGTTAAGGTTCATTGTTCGACTAGTTAATGGTTGTACAGCTGTATACGAAACTGTTTGTCATGTACATGTAGGTTGTCTGTTCGTTTGCAAAGACTTGCAATTTTCCTTATTTCCTTCGAGGCTTCCGTGTTTGGGTCCTACCCTGACTCTGGTTTCCCTGTGAGGAAAAAGTAATCAGGAAATGCACGCTAGAAATAAAAGCTTGAATAGCAGACTGCAATCAATCGGCAATATCAGATCGTGTAGCTCAGGAGTGCACTCGGATGATATAAAGGACAGAGCCTAATTAAAAAACCACTAACAAAAGGATGTATAGCACAATGATGTTCATCACTTCAACGATTTCATTCAAAACTGTTTCGTTCGCAAGGGAGTGTAATGTAATATTTCACCACGTTTCATGGAAACTCATTTTTGGATGTATTCCTTTGATCGGCAGCGAATTTTCCATTAACATGGTATGGGATGAGACGACCAAAACTAATTACAAAACCACGATTTAAAGGATGACAAGCATAATGATGTTCTTCACTTCAACAACTTCATTTAAAACTGTTTCGTTAACAAGTGAGTGTAATGCAATATTTCACCAAGGAAAATTTTATGGAAACTCATTTTTGGATGCACTCCTTAGGCTCTCTAGCAAATTTACCATATATATCGTAGCAACGTGGTCTTTTGGACAATAATACATTATACAATATTTAAGAGATGTTCTGTTTCCGTGAGCCTGCAACACTGTATTCGTTTTGAGTGCACTTTTCGGTCTTGTGTTTGATGTTTAACAGACCAGGAAAAATGGAACAAGAGAGAACAATTGAGAGAAAAATCGGGGCCGTATCATAAGTCCGACGCCTCATAGGTCCGACGCCTCATAAGTCCGACATTTCGGACTAATGAGGCGTCGGACTTATGAGGCATAACATTTATTTATTCCGCCTCATAGGTCCGACGCCTCATAAGTCCGACGCCTCATAAGTCCGACAACGGAAAAACGAGGCGTTTAATTTGTCGGACTTACGAGGTGTCGGAGCTATGAGGCGTCGGACCTATGAGGCGTCGGACTTATGAGGCGTCGGACCTATGAGGCGTCGGACTTATGGGCCTTTATTTGGTTAGGGGATACGATTTTGTCGGACTTATGAGGCGTCGGACCTATGAGGCGTCGGACTAATGAGCGGACCCCGAAAAATCAATAAGCAACTAGAGGTACGGAAATGGCTCCGTGCTCGGGAATCCAAAACATTGCCGGAGGCAATGTCTACCACAACCAAAAAAATGGGAACGCTACGCAATTCATTTTTAAAAAAAATTTAAAATTCAAATTTTGACCTGAAAGGGAAGATACAACATTTGCAAACATCAAAAAACGAAATGATCAAATTATCACGAAATACCTTACTGAATTGTTAGGGACTGACAGTCTCAAGCATCCTTGAAAATCGTGGCTACTGGTGTGCTGACATTTTCAAGAAAAATTTTATTTTTCCAACGCTGGTCGGCCGACCAGCGTTGGAGAAAACTGGCTTTTTTCAAAATTTGTTCCTAAATTTTCATATGAGTTATTCTTACTTTTCTTTGCAATTGATTACTCACTGTGAAGGGGTACAAGCCTGCTAGACCGATTCTCTGACTTTACAATGTAGGAGGCGAACTGTGAGCTCTGGTGTTGCAACTCCGGAAATGAGCTCCGGAAATAGGCCTTATAAATAAACTGCTTAAGTGGGTTACTTTTTTTAAGGCTGGGGGGGGGGGGGTGTTCAGTTACGCGGGACGGGTTTGGCTTGACGCCAGGGCGGGTTAAATGTTATACATTGTATAAATGTTGTTAACTCTATTTTACGTTGTTAGCCAGAGAGCAGACGAGAGACTGAGTTCAGTGAGCAAGCACTGACAAAAATTGCTGTTCCTGAAGCTCAATAAATCAGTGTGTTTTATATTGCACGAAATTGAGTGCGTTTGTTTTCTACATGCGTTTTTCCGACGGAATAAACAAGGACCCGGCGTGGGCGCACGTCGTGTTTGCTGAGGAACACAAATTAGACATAACCTTAATTTCGCAAAAGGGCAGTTTAATTATTGAGGCACAAAACAGCTTTTGCCAAAAGGGAGGTTCATCCTTTAAAAGTACATGACGAGTATGGCACAGCCTTGGGGATATTATTTGCGTAACGTAGACGAAAAAAAAATGATTATAAATCAAGATGTATTCTCGAGTATTCCTAGCTGAGAGGCT